AAGGTCGAAGCCCCTTTATGCCCCGGCCGCTGGCCAAGTGCGCGGGGCCTTGCCCTGAGCTGTTTGCACGCAGGAGGTTTTCACTGACGTCTGGGTCCTACTCCCCACACCAGGCAGCGAGAGCGTGAGCCTCGGGCTCCACGTTGGAGAAATCCTGGAGGCCAGCGGGGGCTGGGTGGGGGCAGTGCTGACCCGACGGCTGGCTTCCTCGTTAGCGGGTCAGCGTCTCCGAGCTTGTCTCCCTTTCTAAACCCTCTGAACGTAAGAGCACTTACTTGCAGAGAGCAGAATGAGCTCCTCTATTTAATACGTCCTCAGAGACCCCGAAACAAAGGGGGGCAGACTGCGCTATTAATCCGATCGTTTAGTGACTTCCCGACAAAGTGTGACAGACGTGTCGGTGTGCGCGGAGCCTGGGCGTGAATATGACCCTGCCTCTTTCCCCCACAGCCCCACGTCTCCCAAGTAGGTTCGCAACACTTATTTGGGAGGGGGGCCAATTCAGGCCGGTAAGTATTTGAAATGCCCCTCTCGTTATGTGGATTCTGCCCTGCCGGCCTGTGGCAGGTGGTCCCTCAGCGCCCCCGCGCCCCACCAGCATGCAGATGCCGGACACTGTGGACTGAGCTCTGCCACGGGAAGCCAGAGGCCTGAGCGGGTCTTCAGGGTTGTTCCGCTCGGAGGTTGAAGCATGTTGGCTGGGGGCCCACCTGTGGCCTGGTGGTGGTGGCCTCCTGACCCCACCCTCTACCCCCAGCCCCCGCTTCCAGCGGTCGGTGGTTCTTCCAGGCAGGGGTGAGCGCTTGGGCCAGAGCAGCCGGCAAAGGCCAAGGGCCTCCCGACGTCCCTGCGTCCCCCGACACCCCTGCGTCCCCTGATACCCCTGTGTCCCCCAGGCCCCTGTGTCCCCCGAGGCCCCTGTGTCCCCCAAGGCCCCTGAGGACCCTGCATCCCCCAATGTCCCTCTGTCTCCCAATGCCCCGTGTCCCCCGAGGCCCCTGTGTCCCCCAGGCCCCTGTGTCTCCCTCGGGCTGCATCTTCTGTCTCCCAGGGTGACAGGACAGACATGGGATCCGTGACCGGGACGCGATCCTTACAGTTGGTGCTTCAGTGGGTGTGGGCGCGGAGGGAGGGGCATGGGGCGCGCAGAGGCACATAACACGGAGCAGGAGACCCCAGAGCTTGCCGGATGCAGCCCCTGTCACCTGCTAGCCTGTTCCCCATCTAGGCGGCCGAGTCTGGGAGGCAAGATGCTTCATTCCACCAAACTCTCATCCTCTGAAGGCTTAACGGTGATGTCGTTAGCACAAACAGGATATGGGTAAGGCGTGAAAAATCCCCTTTCCTTCCCCGCAGGCGGTAATCCCATCAAGGGCTCCGCCGCCAGGAGTCCCTGGCAGGGTGTGGGCGAGCAAGCCTTCAGGGGACTGGGGAGGAGGATTTATTTGGTTCCCACTCATTTCCATAAATAATAAAGTCTACATGTTTATCATATTTGCTCCCAAATTGATGTTGGAGAAAAATATTCACTCTGCATTTGGGGAGATGTCAGGGAGGGCTCAAGACCCCTTGCTGCATGAAAAATTCTCAGGGCCGGGTGTCCAGAACCAAGGTGGAGGCGGCGCAGCTCCCAGGGATCCAGTGGGGCGGCCGGCAGGAGTCCTGAGCCAACAGTGTCTGTGCTGAGCCTTGTGAGATCATGTTCCAGACCAAGCGAAAGGCGCGGCGGGCGGTGGGGGCAGCCAGGCAGGGGGTGGGGCGGGCTGGGAGGGGCCCCTGGGCCGCCGTCCAGCCTGGGGGCCCAGCAGGTTCAGGGCTGTGGAGCAGGTGTCTGTCTGGAGCCCTGGCAGGGCATGTCTCCCTCCATCTTGCTGGCCCTTAGCTCTTTAGACACCTGTGATGCTGGTGCCCTCTCTCCGGGAACGACCTGCGGAGCTACTTTAAAATACGTAAAAAATAGGGCCTTCTGGGCGGCTCAGTTGGCTGGGCGGCTGCCTTCGGTTCAGGTCATGGTCTTAGGGTCCTGGGATCAAGCCCCATGCTGGCCTCCTTGCTCCGTGGGGAGTCTGCTTCTGCTTCTCCCTCTGCTCCCCCCGCCCCCATCCTGCTCTCTCTCAAATAAATAAATAAATAAATAAAATCTTTTAAAAATATACATAAAAAACAATGAACCTATCTACAGAAAGCATTGAGTAAATAATAGTTGGGTAGTTGGGGTGAATGCAGCAAATTGTCGAGGAGATTGGGAATTCCCTGGAATCTGGCGAAGGCAGCAGGGAGATGTAGGGGTCTTGACCAGGGGAGGCAGGAGGATGGGGCTGTCACCCGAGACTGGGGTCCCTCTGGGGTGCGTCGAGCCAAAAGCCAGAGAACAGGAAAAGGAAGGGTTTTACCTGCAACAAGGAAGGAGAACACCGGGGGGCCCTCCCAAAGCGGGTCTCCCCCAACAACAACACTGGGGAGGGTTTAAGCAAAGGGAGCAGATAGTCACCGAGGGCCTTGCGTGGACGAGACTCAGCATGGAATCGGGGCAGAGGCCATCTGAAGGTGACCGAGTGCAGGTCAGAGTCACGAGGCCGGCAGGGTCGGCACCGTCGATGCTCTGGCTCGGGTCGGTCCCGTATCTGAGGGCTCAGAGGGGTTTGGATCCTGCAGAGCTCATGGCTCCAGGGTCCGGCTTCCCTTCGGAACCAGCCCTGGGGGTCGTGCCCCTGATCCACTGTCCCTCGTGTGACTAGGTTCTCTCCCACCTGACGTGGCTGTTTGTCCTTCTCTGCTTCCGCAGGACGGACGGAGCCTGCGATGACTTATGTCCAGAAAGCTATGTCTGTCTGTCTTTTCCCAGGGGCCTCAAGTCTCTGCCCATGGGGCCGAAATGGTGGCTTAGCCTGTGCCGTGGAGAACAGCCTGCAGGCGGGACCACCTGCCCCTTCAAGGGGCTCCTGCCAACAGCCACATTCAGCCTGCAGGTAACCCGCCAGCAGAGCGCGGCCTGGACTCCCTCCTGCCACGGAGATGCCCGGGCCCTCACGAGCTTTTCTTTGTAAAGATGTATTTCTTTACTTGAGAGAAAGTGTGAGTGCACACTAGCAAGGAGGGGGTAGGCGCAGAGGGAGGGGGAGAAGCAGACTCCTGGGGAGGGAGAGAGGAGCTTGATTCGGGGCTCGATCCCGTGAGCCTGAGATCATGACCTGAGCCGAAAGTAAGAGCCGAGCGCTCAGACAACTGAACCACCCAGGCGCCCCCCCAAGAGCCTTTGATAACCAAGGCGGGAACTGGGGGGCTTTTTCTCCACTTTCTCCACTTTCCCTCGCCCAAATGGAAGCCCACCATTCCACGTCACCTGACCCCACCCACTAATGCCGTCGCAGAGACCACACCGCGGATGATGAGACACTAGCCTGCGTGGCGGGTCAGAGAAGCTGGACCCTTCTTCTTCCAAGGCTGCTTCACCCGTTTCTGTGAGCAGAGCCACGTGAAGATAGCGCTCTCGTCGGCCACGTGTCAGGCTCCCTTTCTCCGTGCTCAGTACCCAAACGTCGCCCAGGCGGAGGGAGTCCTGTGGCTGATGAGAAGCACGATGACGGCCCCGTGGCCGTGGCCCCGAGGGCTTGGTGCCTGCACGTGGGCTTGCCCTAACCAGCCGCAGCTGCGTGGCTTTGCGGGCGGGAGCTGGAGCGCGGGGGTCTCTCAGCGCCACCTGTGAAGACTGGACAGCAAGTGGGAAGCGTCATTGCAAGCGGGCGGAAGACCCTTTCACGCAGAGCTGGAAAGTCTACAAAACGGTCCCGGGTGACTCAGAAAATATAACCGAAATCGGGAGCCTGGGACTCGGCCCCTCCCTTCCACCAAACGTGCTCTTCACCTCCTGGGCAGGGGCTGTGAGCAGGAAGGGAACCATGGGTCAGCCATCAGGCCTGGGCAGAGGGACTGAGGGTCTGCTGGGCTCTCTTCTGAGGCCGCGCTGTTGCTGAGATAGCCTGACATCTTCACAGTCTCTGTCCAGCTTCGCTCTCCCCCCTCCATGGAAGGGTCCCCCTTCGGCTCTGCTCCCCAGGCCGGCTGCGAGCCCCCTCACACTTGCGTGCCACCCGCCCAGGCCTTCCCCTGCGCCCCCCCGTCTGGGGCTTTGTCTGATTCCGTATCCCAAGGCCTCAGGGAGGACAAAGGCCGCGGACACTCACTTGGAGAGCGCTCCCCTAGAAGTGACAGCATCCCAGCCTGCGTCCAGGCCAAACTTTGACCTAATACCCCAGATTTTGGAGGCACCTTCCTGGCCTGTCAGCTGGGGCGGGTGGGTGGGCACAGGGCACCTCTGTGGCTCGGGTCACCGTCCTGGTGTCTGAAGTGCACGGGGTTCCCCAGGTCATGAGTGCGGAGCAGGACCCAAGCCTCCTGCTGCTGAATCCAGGCCCACACGGTCTACACAGTGGGTTGATTGGCCTGCTTCCCACATTTGGTGCAGGGACGTGTGGGGAAGGAAATGCAGCCCCAGGCGATGGATGGGCTGGCCCAGGGCAGGGAGCCCACCTGTGGGGTGGTTGAGGGTGCGCGTTCACCCCCTAAGTTGGCTCAGGGTGAGGGTGCACGTCCTCCCGGAAAGTTCTTGGGTCCCTTGGGTGGGTCTGGAGGTTCCGGCCTCCACCCCACTGTCCGAGAAGCTCCTGGTTCACACCCACCATTGCCTCTGGGGCCCACACCCGGGTATGAAATTGGGCCTTAAAGTTGGGTCCCCGACCTCTTATTCCAAAGGGGCAGAAAGAACGCCCCCAAGCACTCTTTATGTGCCAGGCACGGGGACATGCTCTACAGGCGGGGACCCATCACAGGTGATGTACGGGGGCAGAGGGTCTCTGCGCTCTGGGGCTGGGGGCCCGGCGTGCAGTGTGGACGGCTTCCTCAGGGCGCAGGACGCCCCTTGCCCCACGAGGCCGCACGTGGCCCAAGCTCCCGTGAGGGCGCGGGACGCAGTCTGCTCACCAGGTGTGCTTTCCCTCCAGGTGAGCGAGAAAATGTAGCCGCAGTAAGGCGCTACCTGCCGGAGCTTGGTGCGGACAGCCCAGCCGAGACGCACGGCCCACCCCGGGCACCCCTTGGGCCACCCTCACCATGTCCAAGAAGGGCACGGGCGGCCGAGGCAAGGGGGACAAGGCGGAGCTCCTCGCTGCTCTGCAGACCGCCAACGAGGAGCTGCGGGCCAAGCTCACTGACATCCAGATCGAGCTGCAGCAGGAGAAGAGCAAGGTGGGCCCCCTGCCACCCCTGCCCCTTCCCGGCTTCTCCACACTGTCCTGGGCCCCGGGGTCTGCCCAGCTGGTCCCAGGGTCCACGGGGGACAGACAGCTCTGGGAAGAGGGCGGTGAGGGCGTGGGGGGACGTGAGGTGGGGGACCGCCCTGGTTCAGTGCCTGGGCCTCCAGAGGGACCTCGGCCAGTGGCACCATCCTGGGAAATGTCCCCCGAGCGGGTGACAGTGGAACAGCCTCTGTGTGGATAAAGGAAACAGGCTGGGCTTAGCGCTTCCTGGTGCCATCAGAAATGCTGGGGCAGGCCCTCCGGGTGGTGGACACCCAGGGCCCAGACCCCTGTGGGCAGGCCTGAGATAGCTCCACCCAGACGTCCAGCACTTGGGGTCCTTGAGGCTGCGGGGAAGGCGGGGCTTGTGCTGGGGTCTCCAGAGGAGCGTGAGGGGCTGGTCACGGGACGGCCTGCTCCGTGCCAGGCCAGGCCCGGGTTGGGGGGGGGTCCCACTGGCCCGCTGTCCTCTCTGTCTGTCAGAACCTCTGCCCTCACCCCCAACCCGAGGCCTGGGAATGTGGCGAGCAGTGGGTCTGGAGGAGTCCTGCCCAGCTCGGAGTCCTTCGGGGAGGCGGTGGGGGAGGGGGTCGGGGTGTTGGGGGCTGGGTCTCTAACCGCCACATGACCCAGCCTGGTTAAATCCTAAGAGGAGTACTGTCATATTCCATGACTGCCGATAATCACACGAGATTCAGATTCCTTGTCCGTCAGTCCAGCGCTGATAGGACACAGCGGCGCCCACCCGTTTCCATGCCGTCTGCTGGCTGAGCCTGTGGCCCATGCTGGTCACCCACCCTCCTGCCGAAGGTCCCTGCTCCGTACAAAGGGGGCAGGAACAGGACCGTTGGTGCCGGGGAGGAGTAGCTCAAGGAGCCCCGGGGATGGGCCTGCAGCTCGGATACCATAGGCTGCTGTCCCAGCGACCACATGGCACTCCCGTGGCCAGGCCTCCTCTGTGGGCCCGCAGGAGAGTCGGAGCCACCGGGCCCCGGCTGGGACCAGGGAGTCAGGGAGCATTGGCCTCAGCACTTGCTCTGGGTCAGGCGGTCACCACGTCAGCAGGGCCAGCACCCAGAGGCCCAGACACGTGGCCTGGGGGAGCCGGGGGCGAACGTGCAAACATCCTGAGGCCCAGGACAGAGTCCTCCCACATGCCGTGGAGTCCTCGAGGTCATTCACACCGCGGCTGTGGGCCGAGCCTCAGACGCACGAGCGCCGTGGGTCAGCACTGGGATAAGGCCCTTTGGGAGAGCGTGGTCCGTCCAGCGCTCAGAAGCACGACACGTGGCCATTGGGGTGTGGCACTTTCCTCATCTACAGACCCGTAACGGGCATGGGTATGGTAGTCCTTTGTGTGCACTTTCAGCGAAGCCCACCTGTCCCGCAACGGCCCGGGGTGGGGGTGTGGGAGGGAGCGGGCTCGGGGCGCATCACCAGCGCCAAGGCGGGCGGGCAGGGGTGGAGCTTGTGCCCTCTTGCTGCCGTGCAAGGGCCCTGGGGCTGGCGGCCGAGGTCCTGCAGCCCGGGCCCTGTTGTTATTTATGTTCTGGGAAGATTGACCTCTTGGAACAAAAGAACAGGCCCCAGTCCCGGTTCCTCGCCGCACAGGTGACAGCAGGCCGCACACCGGGTGCTCTGGTCTCTTCTTAACTGCTCCGCGTGCAGCACTGGAGTGGGTCTGGCTCTCCTCCCATGCCGACCTGCCCACGTCCGCCTGCCGCCCCATCCAGGCTGTTCCCAATGTTCGGCTGGCACAGCGGCCGGGCAGCGAGCATCCTTGTCTGCATGTCTGAGTCCACGTGCAAGGAAGCTGGGTCCGAGTGTGTGTGCGTGTGTGTGTGCGTGTGTGTGCGTATGTGTGCAAGGATCACACCAGCGCCCTTCCAGAGCACCACGCTCCCCCAGACATCCCAGTCGCCATGGCTTACAAGATGGCTGAAATTTACCTCTGTGGGTGGTGAGGCCCCCAGCCTGCGGGTTCCAGACCTCGCTGCGCGTCACTTTCCTGTGACTTGTTAGAAATGCGGCTGCCAGCCAAACCCTGTCCTGCAGGGCTCACCCTGCCCTGTGGGAGTCATCTTGCCCTGCGGGTCTCACCCTGCCCTGCGGGAGTCACCCTGCCCTGCGGGTCTCACCCTTCCCTGCGGGACTCACCCTGCCCTGTGGGACTCACCCTGCCCTGCGGGAGTCACCTTGCCCTGCGGGGCTCACCCTGACCTGCGGGGTTCACCTTGCCCTGTGGGAGTCACCTTGCCCTGCGGGATTCACCCTGCCCTGTGGTGTTCACCTTGCCCTGTGGGAGTCACCCTGCCCTGCGGGGCTCACCCTGCCCTGCGGGATTCACCCTGCCCTGCGGGGCTCACCCTGCCCTGCGGGACTCCTTGCCCCTGGGACTCACCTTGCCCTGCGGGAGCCCTTCCCGGGGTCCCAGGACGTCTGCTCTAAGCCAGCAGCTTTGAGCATCACAGCTCAGAGCTGCCTTCCCCGCAGCCTCAGCCGCCTGGTGCTGCCCGTCTCCCCTGCGGCTCTTGGCAGTGCTGCCGGGAGGGGGTGCAGGGAGCAGAGCCCCATGGGCCCGAGGGAGGTGCCAGTCTCAGACTGCGGGATTTCCTACATTCAAGAAACTTCCAGGAGGCATAGAGGGTAATGTTCTTCATTGTCTCCTCACCTTCCAGCCCCTGTTGCTAGTCCAGAAGGTGGGAAGGAGCTGCTGAGGTCGCCGTGGCCACTGAGAGCCAGGGACATTCTCTGAGCCCGAGCTCCCCCCTCCCCACCACCTCTGGGCTCCCACTGCCACTTCCAAGCCAGACCTGCACCTTCCCGCCAAGCATCATTAAAACATTCTAGTTTGGTTTTTTTTAAAGCGTGTTCGCGTGTGTGTCTGAGATGGTAATATTTCAGACAGGCGGGTACCCACCACCCAGACCTAACACATGCCATTGTCTTTCGAGATTCAAACAGAAAAGTTCTAGACCCTCACAGACATACTGTCCTTTCTGTCTCCTCTCGTGTGGGGCTGGTCCAAGCCCGGCTTCCCCCACAGCCACTGAGAGGCCTGGACCTCCCTGGCCCCAGCGTCCTCGCAGGATTGAGGATGTGGCGCTGGCCTCCTGAGACGGGCGGGAGGCGGAGCGGGCTCCCACGTGGGCTCAGCTCCAGGAGCTGCTCAGCAGTCCCTAGCATGCCAGTGGGGCTCATGGTTTCTTTCTTTCCTTTCCTTTTTTTTTTTTTTTAAGATTTATTTAATTATTTTAGAGAGAGAGAGTGTGTGTGCAGAGGGAGGAGCAATGGGAGAGGGAGAGACAAGCAGACTCCCCGCTGAGCGCGGAGCCCTACGTGGGACCCGATCTCACGACCCTGAGATCATGACCTGAGCTGAAACCAAGAGTCTGCACCACCCAGGAGCCCCCAGGGTTCACAGCTTCCGTCCCCACATCCGCCGGGGCGGCGAGCTGGGAGCAGGGTGTTCGGGGGTTGAAACGCCCCTCAGGCCCCTTTCCAGTTCCCGCCTGCACTCTCCTGTCTCCCCAGCAACCAGGTCGGTCAACAAAATTCACCTGGGATCCTGCGCAGGTGTCTCCTGCCGGGGCCGTGGCAGCCGTCTGTCTGCTCACCCAGTGCAATACCCTCACCACAAAATGCCACCAGTCCTGGCCGCCTGTGGTCATGCGGACACGGGGGATGGGAAACACGAATCCCGTCATCATGACTGTCAACAGCTTTGTCCTTACCAGTCCCGAAATCTTTACATGTATCACAGTTAATGTCTTGCAACTGCTGGACAAATCCGCGGACCATACCCAGACCGTGGGATCGGAGATTTCTGTCTGGTGTTCGGCATATTGCAGATGTTGTTCTGGAAGCCCCTGAGGAGGAGGGCCTGGTTCTGGACCTCAGGGCAGAAGTCTGGGGAGAGCCGGCAGGACCCGTCCCCACCCGCAAACCTGGCTGGGTGGTGGGAGTCTGTGGAGGCCAAGGAGCGCGCTCACACCCCACACGGCGCCCACCCGTCATCAGGAATTCCCGGCAAAATTCTGCAGCAGCAACATCTCGTTTTGCAGATTGCAATTGCCAGGGTAGAGAAGGTCCCTGCGAAGCATGGAAAGACGCCAGTGAACGTAGCCGCTGCGAGCTTAGCGCTTTGGATTTCAGGCCAATGGTTAATTTATCACGAGGGATACTTGAGTGAATGGAGACTTGACAGTAAAGAATGAAATGCTTTAAATAAAAACAGGACTCTCCTGCTGCCCGCCCTCTGTCAGGAGATTGAAGTGGGGCCATCTCTGGTGAAGAACCTTCTGGAAAGAGGGAGCCAGCTCTGCAGGGAGAGGAGCTGACATGGCAGGCCTCGCGGGAGCTGCATGGAAAAGAACTCAGCGTTTGTTACGCAGAGCGGGGTACTGGGAGGTGACCACGGACAACTAGGTAGAAACAAGCTTGGTGCCTAAGGCCCCGTGTTTCCACCACGACGCCAAGGCTTCGGCTCCAGTCCGGGCACAGAGCAGCCCCCACGGCCTGCACTCACGGGGTCCCGCCCGCATCTGTGCCCCCAGCTCATGAGCACCCCTGGGACTGGGTGGGAGGAATGGACAGCAAGCCTTACACCTGCTATCAGGAAGCGGCTTCTGCTTTAACCGGGAAGGGGCTTCCCCGCTTCCCCAGGCCACAGACAGCCACTCGGGAAACACTGGGCGCCCTTGTGCCCCCAGGCCGTGTCCCAGGGGAGGGAGACACCCAGGAACGGGACCAGGTGTCTGGGCCAGGTAAAGCCAGGCAAGCAGTCATGCTGGCGGTGGTACAATCAAGGGGGGCCTCTCAGAGGAGGTGGCCCTGGAAGGAGACCAGAATGACCTGAAGGAACCGGCAAAGGTGGGTCTGTGGGTGGCTCCGTTGGGACAGGGCTCACCTGATGCAGGGAAGCCGGGTCCCAGCGGCGCTGTTTGCTCACGTAGTTTAAAATTCCATAAACCTCTGAGCAAATCTGTTAACCAGTTATTTGAGAGCTGTAACGTTTCGTGGCCCCATAAAGGATCATGGCTGCTTCCAACCATACACGGGTGTGGACCGGGGTGCCGAGGCCCCTGGTGAGATGAGCCGCAGGACTCGTGGCTGCGTGGTCAGCGTGTCGGGCCTGACCAGTGCGGCAGTCTGAACGCAGGACCCCACCTGCAGGGCCCGAGGCTGCGCTGCGTGGGCTTCTTACAGACGTGCCTTTTCTCGGCAGTCTGAGTCAGTGACACGATCTCGGCGGCTAACGCACCCCGTGAGTCAGTGGCCTACGCTCCTCGTGCAACAGCTCGTAAGACCCCGGGCGCATCTCCATTCCGCTCGGGAGCTGGTTGGCGGGGACCGTCTCCTGGCGCCCTGGCCCGGAGCCTGTCTCTGCTGTTCAGCACATCGGTCCCTCTTAGGGACGTCCGGTCAGGACTGCGGATGGTGGCCACCCTGTCCTGTGAGTGCCTGTGTGGGTCGGGGCCCAGCGTGGGCCATCCTCGTGGGGCTGTGGTCTGGCCTGAGTGTAGAAGCTGGTCTTGACCAAGGAGAGGGACGGTAGCGCCCATCGCCGTGGGCCCTGTGTGCCCGGAGCAGGTCCGAGCCACTTGAATGGCCGGCTGGGTGGGGGGGTCCTTACGTGCCGGGACCCCCTCCTCTGGTGTGGGGCTTGGGGGTCGTGCCAGGGTCCACCCCTGTCACCAGCTCCACGGTTTTTGCGAGGACTGTGGGTAGCACTGAACATAGCTTCTTTCTGAACAAAACCTGAGGATGGCGAGGCCTGGTCAACCTCGTCGCGTTCCGAGCGATTGCGAGTCTCGCATGGATAAGGGAGTAATTATGGGATGTTCTCCCCCGTCACCCCCGGTTTCCTCGAGAACCAGAGTCTCCGTGTGAGGGGACGGAGGCACGGAAGCTACGCAGGGGAAGTTGATCAGAAGCTTGGAGCCTGGCCATTCAGCCCACACCAGATGGGAGGAATTCACGGGCCTGTGTGGGCGGAGCTTCAGGGGAAAGGAAAGCCCACTGCGGGAGACACAGGGGGGCGGACCGCAGAGGTGGGAGCGCAGTGCGTTTATGGGGCACCTCGGAGCCCAAGGAAGCAGAGAGGCTGGTCTTCCCGTTCAGTGCATCTTGCTCAGAACTGCGGTGAGCGAGCGTCTCCTGGGAGCGCCGTGTGCTTTGTGCATCTTTCTTCAGTAACTGCGGGGGCCGTGGCGGAGGACCCGGGCTCTGAAGGGGCCACCGGCCACCGTTTGCTCCGTCTGAGCCCATTGCTTCTACCTGCCTGCGGCATACTGGACCATGCAGGGCAGGGCGCTTGGTGTGGGTCTGAGTTTTCACCAGCCCTTCCCGTGTGCGGCAGGGACCGTCACGGGCACTGTTCAGAAGGGCAGGTGTGTGTCAGGTGTGGGCACTGTTGTCTCTGAGCGGCTTGGACCACCATCAGAACCAAACCCTGCCCGGTTCTGAGAGTCCTCGCCAGCCTCCTGCTCCAACAAACACCTGCTCTATGACCACCTGTGGCAACGTGGCTCTTCCCTCCTCTGATTCCCATGCAAGAGGCCGTCTGGCTCCCCCGCGTCCAGCTGCGGGACCCCCGACCCCACAGTGGGGGCTGCAATGGCTCAGCAGTGGCCCCCCGAGAGCACAGATCCCCCCCCACATGACTGAGAACCACCATCGACATCTTGCTTTCCCACGTCTTCAGCTTGAACTGGAGAAAGGGCAGCTCATCTTCGATGGGAAAGGACTAAATGCCTGTGCGCTAGGCTTCAGCAACAGCCCCCTTCTTTGGCGGGAACGCTGACTGCCGGGCAGATGCCTGGGCGGTCGTCAGGGGCCTGGAAGGCCCAAAGACAGAGCTCGGTGACTAGAATTTGTGCCAGCACTGTGGGATCCAAGCTGTCCTGAGGGCAGCTTGGGGTGGACCCACTGGACACCGGACCACCAGCTGGGAGCACCAGCTGAGTGAGTCAGGTCACATGCACATCCTGATGGGGAAGTAACTGTGGATGCGGCAGACGTGGCCTCCCTCTCTCTGTGTGTCCCGGGATACTTGCTCTGACGGGGGAGGGACACCACAGCCCCGGAGAGAGGGATGAATAAGGCATCCATCCATCTTGGGGGGCGGGTGGGTTGTTCTGAGAAAGGGGCACCAAGTGGTGGGGTCAGTGTGTGGAGGCAGGGCTGGGCGTTTGGGGGCTGCCGGCCACGGTCTGGGGGGTGGGCGGTGGGCCTGCCCTGGGTCGAGGGTCAGAGCTTATCACCCTGGGGAATAGAACCCAAAGTGGCTAGCTGGGGTGCCAGGGGCCCCGGCAGGGAGGGCATAGCGGGGGTTGTCTGCCCACCAGGGCTCCCCGGCTCTGCCCTTTCTCTGAATGCACTGGAAGCAGAGGAGAGGGCTGGGCTGGGGCTTCACCCCTGCAGCTCTTCCTCCTGTGGAGAGTGGGTGGTGGGAGGTGAGTTGGACGCTGCCTGCAGTGGGCAGCAGGGGGGAGCCGGCTCTGGAGCTCGGTTTGCAGGGGTGCGTGAGAGAAGGAGGGGATCGAGGATGCCAGCCCCACACGAGGTGCCGTGGAGCCCAGAGGTGGGGAGGGAGGCGAAGGGCCACCTGCAGCCCTGGACCCTGGGCAGGTCAGCCACTCCTCCCCCCGACGTTAGGTTCTGAGCACCACTGCCTGCCACGTGCGGGTGGTGTGGTCATTGAGCCAAGGTTATGTTCGAGATGAAAATGAGATTCAGTCAAAAATCTGAGTGTTTCCCCAAATCTAGACATTACACGTCATGTAGACAGAGAGTGCTGTGGCTTAGAGTGGTCTCCCCATTGGCCAAGAACGTCAGAGAAGGTGAGTGGGACACCCCGTCATCTGGGCTGGAGGCCCATGCCCAAGGGCATCCCGCACCTTCTTCCCGGTGGTTCGTTGGCGAGGCAGCCATTGGGTGTTCGCGGCACGGTTGGGCCTGGCCAGGGGTGAGGTGGCAGAGCAGATTTCTGTGGACCTGCGTGTCTGTGACCTTCCCTTCCAGGTTCCAGCCCCACGGACGCCCAGGCGTGTGTGTTCACGCTCTCCACCCGCAAGGCTTGATTCGGTTTCCGCAAGGAGACATTCTCGAAGGGAAGATAGCTCCCAGCTTTGCCGGAAGGATCGCAAAGCTGCCCCCGTTGGTCCCTAGGCGTGCGCAGAGGCGGGTTCAGGACCAACGGGCTGGCGTGCTCTTGTCTTCCAGGTCAGCCGGGTGGAGAGGGAGAAGAACCAGGAGCTGAGGCAGGTGCGGGAGCACGAGCAGCACAAGAACGCCGTGCTGCTCACCGAGCTCAAGACGAAGCTGCACGAGGAGAAGATGAAGGAGCTGCAGGCCGTGCGTGAGGCCCTGCTGCGGCAGCACGAGGCCGAGCTGCTGAGGGTCATCAAGATCAAGGACAACGAGAACCAGCGGCTGCAGGCCCTGCTGCACAGCCTGCGGGACGGCGCCCCCGACAAGGCCAAGATCGTGCTGCTGTCCGAGGCGAAGGAGGAGGCCAAGAAGGGCTTCGAGGCGGAGAAGATAAAAATGCAGCAGGAGATCTCGGAGCTCAAGGGGGCCAAGAGGCAGGTGGAGGAGGCGCTGACCATCGCGGTCCAGGCCGACAAAATCAAGGCCGCGGAAATCAGGAGTGTGTATCACCTCCACCAGGAGGAGATCTCCCGCATCAAGAAGGAGTGCGAGCGGGAGATCCGCAGGCTGGTATGTGCTCGCGGGGCGTGGGGGAGGGGTGCTGGCGGGGTCGCTGGGGGCGGGGGGCCGCGGGGCGTGGGAGCTCACTGGGTCCAGGAGGTGAGACCAGAAGGCCCACGGGTGAAGGTCATGGGCCCCCGAGGCCGTCCTGATGTCGGTGCCACAGGGGAAGGCATCCTCTCCGTCTGGACCATAGGGAGTTGCCACCATCCGGTCAGGAAGGGCTAGACGCTGGCAGCCTCATCTGGGGCATCGGGATGGCTCCGGACACCCGCTGCCCGTGGCTGGCATCCATGGAGTCGACGTCCTCAGAGACCCAGAGCGAAGGAGCTGAAGAGATATTCAGGGTTTGTGAGGGACTGTGCCTGATTCTCCTCATCCCTTGGGGCCTGGACCGCCTCAGTAATTTGGGGGAAATGGTGCCCTACCTTGGAGCCCTGTGTCCCCTGTCATGGGCTGTGTCAGGACCTAGCTGGCTTTGCTGCTGGTCCCACTCAGGACCCCTGGGATCCCCTGAATGGGATGCAGCAAGCTTTCCAACCAGCTCGGCCATGCACCCGGGGCACCTATCCCTCCTTCTCTGGGCTCTGGTTTCCAAAGACTGCCCCGGGTCATGCCGCCATGTTGTACTTCCCACAAGGGGTGCAGCCATTCTCCGGACCCGAGCCCGACTTGGGAGCCCAACACAGCTCTGCCGCGATGTGCACACGGGGCCAAACACTCCCAACCCGAACAGCCCCTCTCCTTTCCCGGACTATCCCCCGTTCCGTGCCCCCTCAACCCTAAGCCATGTGTTGAGGCTGCCCTGAGCCACCAAGGCGCACTTGTGAGAAGCGAGGGGTTCCTTCCACGACAAGACGGCCCCTCCCCTCCTCTTCTGCCCGGGAAAGGGAGGGAAGCCAGTGTGGCCAGCTGGAGGACGGTGGGACAGGACGGTCAGTGCTCACTGCCCAGCTCCATGTGGCCCCTTTGTTCATCTCGATTGGATTCACCGTCTGCTGGCCTGTGGCCCCGTCTGCCCAGCTGAGCACCTGTAACAAAACCAGCAGGTCCCTGTGCTGCCCCCAGCCCTGCAGTGGACACCCCAGGGGCAGGTCCTGGCAGCTCTTCTGGCTGATTCTTCTGGATTTTGTGCCACATTCTCAAAAACATGCTTACATTTCTACTTTTTTTTAATTTCCTTTATTTATTTGACAGAGAGACACAGCGAGAGAGGGAACACAAGCAGGGGGAGTGGGAGAGGGAGACGCAGGCCTCCTGCGGAGCAGGAAGCCCGATGCGGGGCTCGATCCCAGGACCCCGGGATCATGACCTGAGCCGAAGGCAGATGCTTAACCCACCCAGGCGCCCCCAAATTTCTACTTCTTGATACCTCCATTTTTGATCCTCCTTTGCCTCCCCCAGATCCCTGGCCCTCTACCTCTCTGCTCCCGCTTACCCCTAAGTTGTCCCGGCCAGGTCTTCACGGGAGAACTCAGCTCCTGTTAGTGAGGGGCCGATTCGGGAAGGTGTGGGCCATGTCAGGGGAGACCTGCGGGGTGGCGACGATGGCAGGTGCTCGCTGGGGCCCTGGGGGAGGGGCGGGTGACGGCACGGGACAGCAGGGTGGCCCCCGGGGGGGGGGGGCAGGGCCCAGCCACGGCCCACTCAGCCCAGCCAGGGAGGTGAGAGCACAGAGCCAGCATCCTGGGTCCAGAGCCGAGGGTATTCGGGGGCAAGAGAGGGTCCCAAGGATGCTGGGAACTTTGTCTCGCCTTAAGTGCGTATTCACTATCTGCACGACTATTGCTGCGTTACTGTTACTCACAAAAGACCCGCAGTTATATTACCTTTGTTGTACGTACTTCTGTTTCCCCTGGAATTCAGTTTTTCATTTGCTTAATTTTCCACGTGCCTATTCCGAATTCAGCCCTGAATTTCCAGGAGGGGCATCTGTGCCTTGAGCAGTCTACACGTTCAGGCGCCCATTTCCCTTGTTCCTGGGACGCCCCTCCTGGAGCCCTCCATCCGCCCGCGGGGCTGCTTCCCCCTGAGCCCGCCGCAAGCCTGACCTCCCGCCACCCTGGGGGCCCCCCGCCCTCTCCTGGGCTGCATCCTCCTGCGTCTTCCTCTTTCTGACACATGATTTCTTCTCCTGGTGGAACAAGTGCTCGAATGACATCCTGGAAACAGAGAGTGTGGGAGATAGATTTTGTGAGACTTTGTACGTATGACATTTTTATTCCACGCTCCATGCTTCAACCGGGGTGGGAATTATAAGTTGCAGAAACTTTCCATCCGGAATTTGAAGCTATCTCTGCCTTGTATTTTAACTTCTGCGTAGCTGTGAGTAAGTGGAAACCATGTGATTCCTGACCTTCCCTGTTCCCTGGGTCCCTCCCACCCGCACCCCGAAGCTGCGGGGTCTCCCTGCGCCCAGAGCGTCCCCTGGAACATTTGTTCACACCACACGCCAGGTGGTCGGGAGCCTTTTCTAACTGGAAGCACAGTCTCCAGCTCAGGAGATGCTTGTTGCCTCCTCGTCTTGCTCTCAGACGGCCTGGCAGTGAGGCGCTGGGCCTCTGAGTTTTGCTCTGCAGCCTGGCTTCTCAGAGATGCCCCCCACGCTGCCTCCTAACTCCTTGTGCAGCTTTTCCTCTCCGCCGTCATATACCAAATGCCCCAGTGCGCTCCTTCCCGGAGCGAACATGTCTCTGCCCCCCTCGCGCTCAGACACATAGCAGCGGGTCATTTCCCGGAGGGTGGCCACGAAAACTGGCCTTGAAAGAGTTTTCTTCGGTTCCCTCCAAGGGCTATGCTCCTTTGCTCCTTGCAGTCACTGCGCTCCCGTTATCCCAGACCCCTCATGGGGCTCGTGGACAGGCAGGCTGCGAGAGATTCTGCGTTGTGTTGGGGCCTCTCTCTGTTCTCTTTCCCACCGAGGAATTCGAGTCAGGGCAAGAAGGCAGAACAATGGAACCAAACACATCAGGTTGGAAAGGAAGATTTAAAACTGTCTTTTTTGCAGGTGGCGTGAGTCTGTAGAAAACCCCAAGTGATTCACCACAAAACCCCCAGAACCGTTAAAAGAGCTCAGCAGGTTTTCAGGATGAGGATCAATATGCAAAAGATCAGTTGTATTTTCATGCACAAGTGACAAACAGTCCAGAATGAGATTTTTTTTTAAGACTTTATTTGAGAAAGAGAGAGAGAGAGCATGAGGAGAGAGAGGGGCAGAAGGAAAGGGAGAAGCAGACTCCCGCTGAGGCTGGCGCCCGAGGACGAGGGGCTCGATCCCAAGACCTGGAGATCATGACCTGAGCCTCAACCAAGAGTCAGATGCTCAACCAACTGAGCCAGCCAGGCGCTCACTAGGGTACTTTAAATGCAGGTTCCCAGGCTCCGCATAGCGGTTCTCATTCTGAGCATCTGTGCGGAGCCTGCTCTGGACTGCAGGGGGCGGGTCAGGGTGTGCGAGGCATCCTCTCCTCTCCACAAGGGCCATTCTTCTGCCTCAGCATCCTCCCCTGGGCACACACCACCCCAAGGGCTGCCTTGGTTTCCATACACCTTCTGTAACTGGGAGAGAGGGGTGTGGAGGGGGTGGGTGTGGGGGAGTTCATGGGGGTGAGGGGGTGTATGGGATGTGTGGGTGCTATGGGGGGTGGGGGTGAGCGGTGGGGGAGCTCCCTGTAGAGGTGGGGGCCCCCCAGGACCGGACAAAGCTTTTTCTCCACCTCAGCGGGGTGTCTGCATCATGCGCCTGCATCATGTGCCTGCATGCCCCCCTACACAAATGGGCGTTCCAGGTGGGAGCTGTAGGACCCCGCCCTGGGCATCTGCTGCCTACTGCATGCAGAGCCCCGTGGCATTCGGAGGACCTCCTGGGGACACTGTCGCTGATCTTTTTTTTTTTTAAAGATTTTATTTATTTATTTGACAGAGAGAGACACAGCGATAGAGGGAACACAGCAGGGGGAGTGGGAGAGCCCGATGTGGGACTCGATCCCAGGACCCTGGGATCATGACCTGAGCCGAAGGCAGTCGCTCAACCGACTGAGCCACCCAGGCGCCCCGTTTTTATTTTATTTTATTTTATTTTGTACTGTTCAAAAAATGTATGGTTAGAAATTACCTTTTTTTTTAAAATTTTATTATGTTATGTTAGTCACCATACAATACATCATTAGTTTTTGATGTAGTGATCCACGATCCATTGTTTTCGTATAACACCCAGTGCTCCGTGCAGTACGTGCCCTCCTTAATACCCATCACCAGGCTAACCAATCCCCCCTCACCCTCCCCTCTAAAACCCTGTTTGTTTCTCAGAGTCCACAGTCTCTCATGGTTCATCTCTCCCTCCGATTCCCCCCCTTCATTTTTCCCTTCCTTCTCCTAATGTCCTCCATGTTATTCCTTATGTTCCACAAATAAGTGAAACCATATGATAATTGACTTTCTCTGCTTGACTTATTTCACTGTCGCTGATCTTAAAGTGACTTTCCACCTTGACAAAATCAAATCCTGCCCCTGCATGAAAGCACCTTTCCTTGAATTTCCTTTGTGAGCCGGTCACCCCACTTGGCTGCAGCACATGACATGGACGGGTGACGTCTCAGGGAGGTCTGCTTTTTGGTCCAAACCATCTGCTTAAAGAGCTCATTTCAGTGGGATCTTATTTTCTGGTTTCCTGATGAAAGAAGAGTGATGTTTTTAAAGTGTCTGAGTGTGAGTGTCATTAGACCCCAGAACATAGCAACACAATTATATTTTACTGGCCCCTTTGCTTTCACTAATTCAGTGTGTTTCTATGTGCTCCAGTAAATGGGAATTTAGCAATTAAGGATTTCTTTTCTTCTGTTCAGTTCATCGCTTGCCTGTGAATTCTGTGATCTGGGCTAATGAGACATCTCATCTCTTTGTTTCCAAGCTGACTTCAGCAGATGGCTGATTTATTAGATTATTTAGCCTTAAACAGCAAGGGAAGCATCAAGTGTCCCATCCTGTTCCGTTGTTTGAAAATACGTTTTAAACCGAGTCATCTTATAAATCAAGCACCGTTTGTAATGACCCCTTGCACCCCCCGAGTCCGTCCATCTGAAGAATGGGTGGAGGGGGTGTGTGTTCTGCAGCCTGGACGAGGGGCTCGGAGGCAAGTGGCAGCCGCGTGCAGAGGGCCGTCTTACAGCTGTCAGGAGGCTGAGCACTTTAGGGAGAGTGGGGAGAGCCGTGGACCCCTCACAGCCACTAGCCTGGGGGCATGCAGAGGCCTGGGTGGGCCGGATGCTCCTGCCCTCTAGTCTGGAGTTGACTTGTCCGGAGAACCCCTCCTCCAAGTCTTAGCTCAAAGCAAGATTAACTAAAAATGCAGCTTTGCCGGCAAACAGTCGGGCAGCACCTCTGCTGTCTGTCCACACCTCGGCGCAAGGAGAGGCAGGGTGCAGAAGGATAAGAACGGTGGCTCCGGCTCTTTCTGGGCTGGGTGCCCCTCAGAGAGGAGAGGAAAGAGGCACCAAGAAGCTTCTGCCTCTCATACCCATAGCCCCCCTGCTGGAGGACGGACCTTGCTCCTCACACTCTCCTATGGATAGGGTTCAAGGAACTCGGGGAATCCCCTGCCCTGCCCAACATACAGCAGAAGGCAGGAGCTAGAGATGGGCTCTGTGGACCCGCCAGCCAATGCCAGCCCCCAGTGGCCGCCCCCAGGAGCCCCTGCAGTCCAGCACTAAAGAGGGTGGTCCTGCCAGGTGCACAGGGACGCGGGGAGGGATGCACAGAGTCCAGGAAGGAGTCTCAGTTGCACCAGCTTGAACTGAACCAGCAGAGCAGAGGTCAGCCTGGCTGGGGGGGTCCGGGGGGGATCATACTGCGGCCTGAGCAGTGGGGCTCTTGGTCCAGGGCGACCTGCTTTGCATCCGGTCTCTGAGCCCGGAGACGCACTGGCAGGGCCGCTGCCACGGGGACCCTCCCTATGCTGGTTCCAAGGGTTCCTCCCCCTGTTTCTATGGTAACTGCAGATCTGTACTCTGCCTGCCTGTGTGATTGTGTTCTGTTCTCCTTGTAGATGGAGGAGATAAAATTTAAAGACAGAGCAGTCTTCGTGCTGGAGAGAGAGTTAGGGGTTCAAGCCGGGCATGCTCAGAGACTACAGCTCCAAAAAGAGGCTCTAGATGAGCAGCTGTCCCAGGTCAAAGAGGCTGATCGGCACCTGGGCAGCCCCAGACGGGAACTTCCTTATGCAGGCGGTGCAGGAGACGCCTCAGACCACTCGGGAAGCCCTGTAAGCACCTCCCCACGCTTTGCCCGGTGACCCAGTCACAGACAGCGCTGCACGCGGCTCTGTGGCCCTGCTCAGGCAGCTCCCCAGGGAGTTGAGAGCCTAGGTGCAGAGTCCAGAACCAGAACCTCCTGCCCCGGGGACGCTGACCGTGTCTGCAGCCCACCAGCCGGACCCCGGACCCTTCGGCTTCTCCGGCTTGGCCGGAGGACAAGCAGACTTCTGTCTCCTTCCCTTCTGGCTAGCATGGCACAGCACTGGCCTTCACTTGATCACCCCCCCCATGGCCCCCCAAGGCTTCCGGCTAGAGCCTACCTGCAGCTGCCAGGCCCCCAGGTGGCTAAGGGTCCTTGCTTGCTGGTCCTGGTTCCCATCCTGGGCGACCGGGATGAGGCTGAACTGCTTCCATCTCCATGTGCACGGGCTCCTGGCTCTCCATCGCCCGCACCCCCACCGGTCACCCCCACCTGCTTTTTGTGTGACCGTGCCACCCTTCTGCTCCCCTTCAGGCTGCCGTGACAGTGTGGGGACAGCCAGCAGCTGCAGGGCTGTGACATCATTCATTCCTCATTGCTGCTCCTCATTCAGAGCCCTCTGGAGTGGTTCTGGGTAATCCGGGGTGAGGGGAGTCTAAATTCCATGGACCCTCAGTGCAGGTCCTGTGGGGCCTGCTCCCTAGCCTCTCCTGCACCTGCTGAATGAGGAACCATTCCTGTGTCCTTCCCGGACATACATTTGTTTGCTTTGAGGACAAAATGTTTGAGCTGAGCCAGCCCGAGGACAGCGACATTTCAAGAATAGAAAATAATTTTTTATAATCTGATTATAAATGGCTTAACTGGATTAAATCTTGCTCTGGCACTCGATGGATTGTGTTAACTCCAGAGAGATTCTGAAACTGGATCAAAATGTTTCCACTGATTTTTGAATGAGGTTCCAGAGGTTTCAAAAGTGACCTTATAGAATCTCAATGTGAGGGAGCACACCTCTTGGGAAACCATCTTTTGAAAGTCTTAAGTTGAACAACTTTTCCTGTGCTCACATGATCACACTAGGGAAACCGCGACCCCACCTCCTTCGCAGGGCAGACCCCTCCCGAAATCTGCAGCCAGCAGCCGCCCTGGCCTTCCACCTCTGCACATCCCGGACATTTCTGCTCCTTCGTTCTGTCCCCACTGTGCGGTTTGCGGTGCCCATGGTGGTCAGCCATCGGTCACCTGTCCCTGGGAGGGTCTGCACCCACCCATCTGCCATGTGCAATCATGGGCGATCATGACGCAGAACTGCTTTGTTTTCCATGGTGCGCTAGGATTTGCAGAGGTTTTTATGCCTGTGTCTACGAACAGTTATTTGCAGTTGATTTTTGTTTTAGGAACAGCAGTTGGATGAAAAGGATGCTCGGCGCTTCCAACTTAAAATTGCAGAGCTGAGTGCAATCATTCGGAAGCTGGAGGACCGAAATGCCTTGCTTTCGGAAGAAAGGAATGAGCTGGTGAGGGGCAGCGGGGCAGGGGCACGCAGATCTGGATCCTATGGGTCTATGGCTGCTGGGGGAGGGTGCAGAAGGCGCCCACCTCCAAAATTCCTTGTGGAAAGGAGGAATGATGGTGCCAAGGGCAGGGTTTGCATACAGGCCTCTCAGCTGTTTCAATAAAGCTTTATGAACAAAACCTGGTGGGGGGGATGGATGTGGGCCTCGGGCACTGGTTGGTTGATCCCTGCTCCATATTATTGAGCAAAAGTACCCTCCGTCCTGCGTGTTGTCTGGGATGAGTGAAGCCCTCCCGCCTCGGTGAAGCCATCACGATCACTCCTCACAGGCACTGGAATTTCCAGGTGACCTGTGTCTGAGTGAGAGCTTCTCCAAGGGCCCTGAAGGGTCATGGGCCAGGCGAGTCTACTGCAGCTCTTATTGGCAAAATAGGGCCTTGGCCCCAGACCACCTCCCTTTGCTGGAGCCAGAGCGTGTTCTGGCTGGTTTGCCAAATCTGTACAGGGATTGTTGGCTCCGCGTTACACTTAAAATCATGTTGTGTGATTAATTTTGTCTTTCAGTTAAAGCGCTTAAGGGAAGCTGAGAGTCAGTACAAGCCATTGCTGGATAAAAACAAACGCCTCACTCGGAAAAATGAAGATCTGTCCCATACTTTACGTCGGATGGAAAACAAGTTAAAATTTGTCACGCAGGAGAACATAGAAATGGTAAGGGGCCCTGCCTGGTCCATGGGGCCAGGAGGATTGCCCACCCCCACCAGCAGTGAGCAACAACCCCCTGAACTTCTCACGTGAAAGTCTTGATCATTTGATTCCCCCCCCACCCCCGCCCCGTCTCACATACACTGGGGGGACTGGAAACACCTGGGCGCTGGCTGGGAGAGGAGGCGGCAGGTGAGGGTCTGAGCACTGGAGGGAAGAGGTCGTGGGCACCTGCCTGGGCAGAAGCGGGCGGGGAGGTCACTGGGCAGGTCAGCCCCAGGCCTGCTGCCCAGTCGAACACAAGGAGCTCCACCCCGCATCTGCTGACTCTGAAAATCTCAGGCCCAGGTAGGAAGAGCCCCAGAACACCTGCGTGGAGGGGAAGGAGCCAGCAGACCACACCGCGCAGTCTCCTGTGTCCCTTCTTAGTTTAGCCAGGGTCATTCGGCACGACGTGGCGGGGGAAGGGGAGGGCTGTGAGGGGGCCAGTGGGGGAGGAGGGCGGGGTGTTCCCCCCTCCCCGCACCCCGCTGCAGAAATGCCTCCTTCCCACGCTCAGCTCGGAAGGCGGCGGGGTGTGCGGTGGCGGGCCGCTCACGCCGCCTGGTCTCGGGGTGCAGACTCGCCCCGCGCGCGCCCCCAGGGCCCGAGCAGACGGGGAGACGGCGCTGCGCGGCGCGAGCCCGCTGGCAGGGAGCACCCGCGCTCCCCGCCGCCCGACGACCCCTCGCCCCACCCCTGTGACCGGGTCTGGTTGGCTTTGCAGAGACAAAGGGCCGGGATCATCAGGAGACCCAGCTCCTTAAACGACCTGGATCAAAGTCAAGACGAGAGAGAAGTTGACTTCTTGAAACTTCAAATTGTGGAGCAGCAGAACCTCATAGACGAGCTTTCTAAGGTGCCCGCGCCCCCTCGGCGGGGCCCCCGCGTCCCTCCGCGACCCCCAGCGCCCCCTCCATCTCCGTCGGCCACGCCCTCCAGCCCCTCCTCTCCCGTCTTCCTCGGCGCGGCCCCTCGTCCCTGCCCCGCCCCTCTCGCCCCTCCTCTCCCACCCCTGGGCCCTCCCCTCCCATCTCTCTCAGCCCTTCCCCTCCACTCCCTCGGCCTCACCCCTCCCGTCCCTCCCCTCCCGTCTCCCTCGGCCCCTCCTCTCCCGCCCCTCGGCCCCTCCCCTCCCATCTCCCTCGGCCCCTCCCCTTCCGCCCCTCGGGCCCCACCCCTCCTGCCCCTCGGCTCCTCCCCTCCTGCCCCTCGGCCCCTCCTCTCCCATCTCCCTCGGCCCCTCCTCTCCCGCCCCTCGGCCCCTCCCCTTCCGCCCCTCGGGCCCCACCCCTCCTGCCCCTCGGCCCCTCCTCTCCCGCCCCTCGGCCCCTCCCCTCCCATCTCTCCGCTCCTCCCCTCCCGCCCCTCGGCCCCTCCCCTTCCGCCCCTCGGGCCCCACCCCTCCTGCCCCTCGGCCCCCCCTCTCCCGCCCCTCGGCTCCTCCCCTCCTATCTCTCGGCTCCTCCCCTCCTGCCCCTCGGCCCCTCCCCTCCCATCTCCCTCGGCCCCTCCCCTTCCGCCCCTCGGGCCCCACCCCTCCTGCCCCTCGGCTCCTCCCCTCCCGCCCCTCGGCCCCTCCTCTCCCGCCCCTCGGCTCCTCCCCTCCCGCCCCTCGGCCCCTCCTCTCCCGCCCCTCGGCCCCTCCCCTTCCGCCCCTCGGGCCCCACCCCTCCTGCCCCTCGGCCCCTCCCCTCCCGTCTCCCTCGGCCCCTCCTCTCCCGCCCCTCGGCCCCTCCCCTCCCATCTCCCTCGGCCCCTCCCCTTCCGCCCCTCGGGCCCCACCCCTCCTGCCCCTCGGCCCCTCCTCTCCCATCTCCCTTGGCCCCTCCTCGCCCGCCCCTCGGCTCCTCCCCTCCCATCTCCCTCGGCCCCTCCTCTCCCGCCCCTCGGCCCCTCCCCTCCCATCTCTCGGCTCCTCCCCTCCCGCCCCTCGGCCCCTCCCCTTCCGCCCCTCGGGCCCCACCCCTCCTGCCCCTCGGCCCCACCTCTCCCATCTCCCTCGGCCCCTCCCCTTCCGCCCCTCGGGCCCCACCCCTCCTGCCCCTCGGCCCCCCCCTCTCCCGCCCCTCGGCTCCTCCCCTCCTATCTCTCGGCTCCTCCCCTCCTGTCCCTCGGCCCCTCTTCTCCCATCTCCCTCGGCCCCTCCTCTCCCGCCCCTCGGCCCCTCCCCTCCCATCTCGGCTCCTCCCCTCCCGCCCCTCGGCCCCTCCCCTTCCGCCCCTCGGGCCCCACCCCTCCTGCCCCTCGGCCCCACCTCTCCCATCTCCCTCGGCCCCTCCCCTTCCGCCCCTCGGGCCCCACCCCTCCTGCCCCTCGGCCCCCCCCTCTCCCGCCCCTCGGCTCCTCCCCTCCTATCTCTCGGCTCCTCCCCTCCTGCCCCTCGGCCCCTCTTCTCCCATCTCCCTCGGCCCCTCCTCTCCCGCCCCTCGGCCCCTCCCCTCCCATCTCTCGGCTCCTCCCCTCCCGCCCCTCGGCCCCTCCCCTTCCGCCCCTCGGGCCCCACCCCTCCTGCCCCTCGGCCCCCCCCTCTCCCGCCCCTCGGCTCCTCCCCTCCTATCTCTCGGCTCTTCCCCTCCACTCCCTCGGCCTCACCCCTCCCGTCCCTCCCCTCCCGTCTCCCTCGGCCCCTCCTCTCCCGCCCCTCGGCCCCTCCCCTCCCATCTCCCTCGGCCCCTCCCCTTCCGCCCCTCGGGCCCCACCCCTCCTGCCCCTCGGCTCCTCCCCTCCTGCCCCTCGGCCCCTCCTCTCCCATCTCCCTCGGCCCCTCCTCTCCCGCCCCTCGGCCCCTCCCCTTCCGCCCCTCGGGCCCCACCCCTCCTGCCCCTCGGCCCCTCCCCTCCCGTCTCCCTCGGCCCCTCCTCTCCCGCCCCTCGGCCCCTCCCCTCCCATCTCCCTCGGCCCCTCCCCTTCCGCCCCTCGGGCCCCACCCCTCCTGCCCCTCGGCCCCTCCTCTCCCATCTCCCTCGGCCCCTCCCCTTCCGCCCCTCGGGCCCCACCCCTCCTGCCCCTCGGCCCCCCCCCTCTCCCGCCCCTCGGCTCCTCCCCTCCCATCTCTCGGCTCCTCCCCTCCTGCCCCTCGGCCCCTCTTCTCCCATCTCCCTCGGCCCCTCCTCTCCCGCCCCTCGGCCCCTCCCCTCCCATCTCTCGGCTCCTCCCCTCCCGCCCCTCGGCCCCTCCCCTTCCGCCCCTCGGGCCCCACCCCTCCTGCCCCTCGGCCCCCCCCTCTCCCGCCCCTCGGCTCCTCCCCTCCCATCTCTCGGCTCCTCCCCTCCTGCCCCTCGGCCCCTCTTCTCCCATCTCCCTCGGCCCCTCCTCTCCCGCCCCTCGGCCCCTCCCCTCCCATCTCTCGGCTCCTCCCCTCCCGCCCCTCGGCCCCTCTTCTCCCATCTCCCTCGGCCCCTCCTCTCCCGCCCCTCGGCCCCTCCCCTCCCATCTCTCGGCTCCTCCCCTCCCGCCCCTCGGCCCCTCCCCTTCCGCCCCTCGGGCCCCACCCCTCCTGCCCCTCGGGCCCCTCCCCTCCCATCTCCCTCTGCCCCCGTCCTGCCCGGGCCCCTCCCTGCGGGCTCCACCGCGGTCCTGCCTGAGTGGCCCTCTAAAGCTGCGTCGTCTCCTCATCGCTTTGGACCCGGGGTTTCAGCGACGGCGTGCCGCGGTGTTAGCTCCTGGGACCCCGGGGCAGAGCAGCGCACCTGGGGACTTAGCACACAGCGACCTCTTCTCGGTCTGGAGGCCAGAATCCTGTCAAGGTGCGGCAGGACCGCGCCCCCTCCGCAAGCGCGAGGCCAGGGTCCGTCCTTTGCCGCGGGGACGTTTCTGGTGGCTGTGGGCCTCTCACTCCGGTCCCCGCCTGTCTCCGCGGGCCAGCTCTCTGTGTCCCTCCTCTTCTCTCCTGCCCACCCTAATCCAGGATAGTCTCATCTCCAGATCCCCGACTCAATCACATCTGCAGAGACCCTATTCCAGAGAAGGTCCAGGCCCAGGTGCTGGGCATTAGGCCGTGGACAGGCTCTTCAGGGCCCCGTCCCTTAACACTGCCCTGTCCCTATGGCCACTACGCCCCCAGCACACTGTTGAAAATAGTCCTGCACCAAACCCTCTTCTAGTTACCCTGTTGGGGTCCCCTCGGGTCATTTCAGAGCAAGTTGCCTTCGTCATTCTGTGGCCTCTAGAGGCAGCAGAAGGGACAGCAGTGTCTCTCCTGCTGGTGTGGCTCGTGGCCCAGAAGTGCGGGCCTGGCCTGTCTTCTTGTTGTTTTTAGTAAGTTCTATGCCCATTGTGGGGCTTGAACTCAAGACACTGAGATCAAGAGTCACATGCTCCCCTGACTGAGCCGGCCAGGGCCCCAAGGCCTGCTTCATTTTGATGACTGAAGTTGCCTCCAAAGTAACAGGAGGTCCCACTGCCCAGCACGGGCTGCAGGGTGGGGTCTCCCCAACACAGCCTTCCCTGACTGTGCCTGCGAGCTGACCTTTTGTCTCGTTCAACTGCACAGTGACCGTCCATCCCCACGTGTATAAGAACCTATGGGGGGTCGGGGAGTATAGGAAAAGGACGAAATCTTGGTCAGTTGCGACTGTGCGTTATTGCAGTTTCTGCAAGGCGGGTGACAGGCCCTTGGCCGTGAGCCGACGGCCCCCGGGGGCTCCTGCAGGTTCCCGGTGCCCTTGGGAGGTCAGCTTAGGGAGGGAGGAGGGACCATGAGGGCCAGGTCAGATGCCCCCTCTCCGGGCAGTGGGAAGCGGTCGAGTTGAGGTTCTGGGCAGCCGCCAGGCTCTGGGTCTCCTGGGGAGCAGGTCTGTGCTCCCAGCTCTGTAACAAGCTCTTGTCTCCCTAGACCCTGGAAACCGCTGGCTACGTGAAGAGTGTGCTAGTAAGTAATTCTCTCTCCTACATTCACACCCAATGCCCCGTGCACTTGTCCCTGGGACCCTTGGTGCTGGTGGCTCCTTCTAGTCCGGACAGAGGCGGCTGTACCAACACATGCTACCTGCCCAAAGGTTTTGCCATGGGACTGCGAACACCCATCCGTCAGGGTCAGATAGATGCCCCAGGTGGCCTTTGGTGACACCTGCAGGAGCCAGCACCCAGCTTTGCTCGTTCTTCAGGGGTGGCTGCCCTCCCTGGAGCACTGACCCCCACCACGGGTTTCTGCCCCGCCAGCGTGGTCTAGCAGTCTCAGCGTGGCTGGTACGTGGTCAGGGTCATGGAAATTCAGTGGAGCTCCCTGGGGAGAAACGGGTTTTTGGTCTCCTTACGTGTCTGCAGGGTCCCTTTCCAGCTGTGTGGGGTTGCCGCTTCTCCAGACATCTGCTCAGAGAGTACAGAGCAGGGCTGGCCTTGGTCCCTCTCGGATTCCCATTTCTGTGTGTGGGCTGCTCAGAGCCTGCCCCCCAGCCACACACTGTGAGGAGGCTGGAGCACCCTGAGCATGGTGGGGCGACAGCCGCCCACGTGGGCCATCGCCCCTTTCAGCGCAAGCAGAAACCACGCGCCATCTGCCCCTTCAGTGCCAATGTTCCTGAGCAGGGCCGCGTCTGTGACCACGCAGACAGTAGCCCATCTAGAAACCACCCTCCAAGTCCGTGCCGATGACTGCGCGGGAACATTAACGGAGCTGCTCACCCCTCAGAAAATCTCTTCCACTGGTTTTTGCAGGAGCGAGATAAGCTTTTAAGATTTCGGAAGCAAAGAAAGAAAATGGCCAAACTCCCCAAGGTAAAGGAGACGGTGTTGATGTATGTGTACACAGAATGTATGTTTTCTAAAAGCCACTTAACACGAGGGCGTTCCTCGTGACAGCAAGGAGGAGGGGTTAGCCCTGGGACTCTGGCCTTCCCCTGCGGGGCCTGGGAGTTAGAATTCCTGCATTGCCCTGGGGCCTGCAGGCCTGCCTCGCACAGCCCCCCCCCCACCACCACCGCCCCACTGCGGGCTTAGCAGGGGGGACTGCTGGCCCCACGCGGCTCCGCCCTGGCTGACCTGTGCCCCCAGGGAATCTGAAGCAGGATCCTTTTCCATAAACGTGTGTATTAGAGGAGATTCAGGAGATAGTCCCAGAGAACAATAACTAGTGCTCTGCTTTATGCAAAATGCATGTGTTTTCTTGTTTGGCTTTCGAATGCTGGGGGGTGTTCCTCACGCAGCCTGGGAGATACTCCTCAGGCACGAATGCTGGCGCATCTGGCCCCCGGAAGGGCCCATGGAAGGAGTGACAGGGTGCTGGGGCTCTCTCTCCTCGGGATTATTGCAGAGCATTTAGAGATTTTCTGGAGGCCTGGAAGCCTGGCCGTGCAGAGTCCTAAGAGTGGACCAGCTGGAGGAGGCCCACCCTCTCTACCTGGGCCCCCCACCGTCCCGGCGCTTCCATGAGGCAGGAGTGGGGAGAAGCCAGGCAATTGGGATAAAGGCCAGGAGCCATCAAGATGGGCTCAGCAGCCAAGGACAGGATGTTGGTTGACAGGCGTGGACCATTGGCCACAGTGCCCTCCAGCCTGGGTGACAGGCGACCTTCATGAGCTGGACCATGAAGGGGCCCGTTGGGGTTTCAGCACAGGGAGGACCCAGGAGGCTCCCATGACGGTCTGGGCCAGGAGTTAGGGAGAGTGTCGGGGACACTGGCAGGAGGGACTTGGGTGGAATGGATGGTGGACATGGGGTGAGGAGGGGACGCGGGTCCATGTCTGGACTAACTCAGTTCCTTTTGGCCAGAAGCCGGTTGTGGTGGAGACCTTCTTTGGATATGACGAAGAGGCTTCCCTGGAATCCGATGGCTCCTCCATCTCTTATCAGACAGACAGGACCGACCAGACTCCATGTACCCCCGACGATGACCTGGAGGAGGTAGCCTCCCACAGGGGCTTCTGGACAGGCTGGGGCAGGGCCTGGAGGCAGCGAGGATCAGGGTCGGGGACGTGGGGCTCTGCTGTGTGGCCTGCCCCCTGGAGCAGTGGGCTTGGGGGCCCTCCCTGGCTGTGCCCCCCAGTAGCCTGTGCTCATATCCTTCCATACAGTGGGACAGAGGGCTCCCTGCCTCTCAAAGGGCTGCCCCAGGGGGTCTGAACCACCCAGGGTGGGGAGGCTGGCAGCAACGCCGAGGGCCACGCCGAGGTGTTCATTAGGGTGACAGGCAGTGCAGAATAGTGTTGTCTCTGATAAAGCCCACCCAGCCTGACCTCCCCACCAGCCCTTCTTGCAGAAGGAACCGTCCTCAGATGCAGGAGGCCGGCTGAGCCCCGCATGTGGGAGGAAGCTGGGCTTGGTTTGGTCTCACTGGCTTGGCCCCTGTGGCTGCAGGACAAGGAGTAGCAGGCTGTCTGCGGCCCTGACAGGCCCAGGGGCACTAAGGCCATGGATAGGGCCTGCCCTGGCTGATCCGGGCAGGTGACCCATGGCCAGGGACCCACTTAGAGACCTAAGACATCATAGCAGAGCTGCTGCCACAGCCTTGGGGGTAAGGAGCGCAGGGGGAGCGGGGGCCAGGCTAGGGTTCCTGGGCCCGGTCACTGTTGGGCGCAGCCACCCTTCATACCAGACCTAGGCCTTGTTCTTGGAGAAGCAAGCGCTTTGGGGTCCAGGGGGGCCTGGGAAGGCCGCAGCACCACCCTGCCTTCTGTCTGGGGCAGCAGGTGTCCCTGTAGCCAGAAGGAGGCATTTAGGGATCTCTGCAGGAAGGTGGGGGTGGGGAGGAGAAGCATTCCCTGGTCTAGGTCTCACCTGACACATCTGGGGGGCAGATGGGGCCCCCGCCGAGCCCCTGGCCTGGCTGTCGGCCCCTGAGATTCACCCTGGCCTCAGTGCAGCCAGCTGGGCCTTTCCCCGGGGGGGGGCTCCAGGCTCACCTCCCCGCGGCCCCAGGTAAGCCTGCATCTCCGTGCACCTGTCCAGGGCGTGGCCAAGGAGGAGACCGAGCTGAGGTTCCGGCAGCTGACCATGGAGTACCAGGCTCTGCAGCGAGCCTACGCCTTGCTGCAGGAGCAGGTCGGAGGGACGCTGGATGCAGAGCGAGAAGTTAAGGTCTAACTGACTTCTACTCCACGACGTTCCAGCTCCCTCTGGGCTCCTCCCCGCTTGACCCCCGGCCTTGGCAGGGACACTTGCATTGCTTCACCTTCCGGGCCAAGCCCTCTCTCCCACGGTTCTTGCCGTGCCTGCTGATGCTCCCTGAGGCGATTAAGGACCAATGTTGGCCTGGGGGTGGGTGGGGCCTCCCAGAGTGTTCCCAGGCACAGGTGTGAGTGATGGTCCCTCGGAGAGCAACGTGTGTCCCCTCTGGGGACCGTGGCTGGTGGGCAAGGGGAAGTTTGCTTCCTCGCAAACCGTGCAGTGGTGCTCTTAGGGGGCTCTCCTGGAGCTGAGGCTCAGAGATGGGGAAGGGCCAGCGTTGCAGCTCAGTTCTGGAAATTTGCCAAGATCATTCATTCATCCAATACACCGGAGCTGCTGTGCCCATCTTGACCCTGAGCCTCACCAGGCAGGCCCTGCTGGGAACAGGTAGGTGTCCCCCTCCTGCCCCTGCCTCCCTGGACCCTGGCCCAGGCGCTCATGCCCCGTCCTCAAAGGCAGGAACATGGGGCTGACAGGTGCCCTCGCTGGCCACCAGGGGAGGCCATGGCAGGGGGCTATGCCCTGCCCTCCCTGAGCCCCCTCCCCTGCTCCCTGACATGTGGCCTGCCCTGCCAGGGCCAGAGGGGATGCCCTGCACAAGGAGATGGGCTGCATCCTGTATACCTGAAGGGCTGTCCTGCCCAGCTGCCCTGGGGCCTGGGGGCCAACTCTGTCCCTAGCATACAGGGCAAGGGGCCAGTCAGCTGGTCCTGGGACTCCAGCTGCCCGGCTGAGCGTGGACTCTTGGAAGCAGGGCACAGTGTCAGTGGGGTCCCCTTGCCACATCCATCCTCGCTGCCTGGAGAGTCACTCGGCCTACTCCCTGTCAGCAAATTGATCTCCCTCCAGGTTCATGTGTATCACCTGGGCCCTAGGAGGGTGGAGGCTGGAGGAGGGGAGGGGAGGGAGAGCCAGGGTCCGCTGATGTCTGAAGAGGAACCCAGGGCCAGGCCAGGGGATCCCCTGCCCTCCTCAGCTTGAGGGCCACCAGACCCTGTGCCCAGCTGGCCCAAGTGCTCTCATCTGCCCAGAGCTGTTCCCAGGGAGCAGGAGTACTGGAATGAAGTGCCCTGTGGCTGGGACCCCGTGAGAGCAAATTAGCTCCAGGGAGGGCGGCCTGGACCCTCTGGGGGCCTTGCCTGCACTGGGCACTGAGGGTGGGCTTCTGCAGGGGCACTGGGGGGGGGGCGGGGGGAGTCAAGTGCACGCAGAATGTGGAGCAAGGTGATCCGGGACCGGCGGAGGGCGCCAGTGCAGGACGGGAAGGGCCGATGGCCGATGGCCGAGCCCGCATGCAACCGGTCCGTGCGTCCTCCGTGCTCCATCCTCCATCCTCCGTGTCAGCCAGAGCCCGGAACAAGCCCCCCAGTGGCCAGTGCCCCGCAGCGCTCCACTGCCCTCACCAGCTGTTTCATCCTGTTGATAGACATTTCCCCTAACAGTCCCTCAGAATGAGTCTGTAGGGCGTCCCCCTAGTCTAAGTGAGCCTTAGACTCATGGAGCCTCCCTGCAAAATCGAGGACCGTGTCCTCTCCCTTAGCGGAGGCTGAGGCCCGCCAAAGCCTCCATCCCTGCGGGCGTGTCCTGGCTGCGAGAGAAAGTTTGATGTATCCCTCCTCCCATCCTACAGACCCGCGAGCAGCTGCAAGCAGAGGTGCAGAGAGCCCAGACGCGGATAGAAGACCTGGAGCAGACCCTGGCTGAGCAGGGGCAGGTGAGGCTCGAGCGGGAGCCGGGTGCCCCACCAACACGGAGGGTGCCCGAGGGGCGCGGACGGTCCAGCCCGGCAGACTGGCGCCCCACTAAGAAATCCAGACACTGAGGGGAGCATGTATCAGAAGAAGGGCACAGCACGGCTTGACGGGGGCACCTGGGCAGACCCTCTCTCCCCCCAGCTCAGGGCCAGGGCTGCCCCTGGAGACCGCTGGTCACTCCCTCACCTCTGTGCCCATCGCCACCTCTGGGCTCTTCAAATCCTGGGGGCAAGCGTCCATTGCCCGTGGCCATGAGCCTCTGACCTGCTGGACGGCGCACTTCCAGGTGGACCCAAGATGAGGCAGGAGGATGTCTGTGTAGGGCTGGGAGGGTCCACCCCCAGGCTGCATGGGAAAGCGCCTGGCTCGCCATCAAGCCAGCGCAGACCCACGGTGGCCCTCGACGTGTTCGCCTCTGAGTGGACGGTGGGATGGAAGAGAGGAGGACCTGAGCGGCACAGGGTCATGTTGTCCACGCCCCTGCCTGAGCGTGCGCGGCCCCAGAGTCTGTGCTGGGCACCTGTAGCCGTTTACCTGAAGCCCGCCGGACTGGCTTGCACCCCATCGGGGCCACCACCCCTCCCCCGGGGCCCCGTGTGCTCAGGCAACGGGAATGGTGCTCAGGAGCTGTGCTGTGCGCGGCCTTCGCGGACCCTGCCTGGACCTTTGAGTGGGATGCCTGGGCCCCACGCCCTCTGTGCTGGAGAACTGCAGTGGCGGGTTAGCTGGGACGCGAGCCGGAGGAGGACGGACAGGAGGACGCGGCTGCCTTTCTTCTGCAGCCGTGAACCTTCACACTTCCCAGATGACTTTGCGGGGAAGAACCTGGAAGCAAGTGGACTGTGAGGGGCAGTGGGAGTTCCTCCCAACCCCTTACTGAGGATGCTGCTGGAGAAGGGAGCGTCTGGGCTTTTGGAGACACCTGATCATGGGACCGGGTCGGCCGGGGGTCCACACACGTCTCTCCCCAGAGCACAAAAGCTGGCCTCCATCCGTATGTCTGAGTGTGAATGCACAGGACACCCCCCGAGCGACCAGGCTCCTGTTGGCTCCGTGTCAAGGTCCTTGGACCCGTGACACCCACATGGCTCCACGTGCCACTGGTGCCTGGTGTGGGCTGGCGTGGTCCGGGAGTGCTGGCCACGTGGTGGCGCAAGGTGTCTGCTCTCCGTCCAGGCCCCCCGGCAACTACGGGGGATCGTAGGCTTTCATTCACTGCATGACAGGAATGGTGGGCAGGCGGCAGCTGCGGAAGCTGGGTGTTGAGTCCGTTCTGCTGAATTGTGATTTAAATGCTGGCTTTGCCTTAATCCTGGGGTGTATTTATTTCTCTAATTTAATTCCGTTTTCAAGGACATGAAGTGGATTGAAGAGAAGCAAGCGCTGTATCGAAGGAACCAAGAGCTTGTAGAGAAGGTAGTGCCCCCACCTGCCGCGCTCCCGGGAACTGTCTTCTGGGGAGAGGTCCTTGGAGGGTCCATGGAGCTGGGTCCGCCCAGCAGCTGTGAGTGTGCCCGGTGGAGGGGCCGTGGGCCACAGCTGCCGGGCCCCCTCCAGAGCTGACCTTACTAGTTACGAGGTTGTTCAAACAGAATCAGAAACAAGTCAACCCGACGTGTGAGGCCCGCACCTTCCAAAGGGTGAGTGCAATGCATCCATGGGCTTCCCTGGCTTCCGGTTAACAGGAAGCCCCAAAACGCTGTTGTCCCTGCAGCCCACCCCCGGGCTGGGGCTCTGTGGGCTGGAAGATTTTATGTGATGGGCCAGAAAACACGGTGCCCGCTGGCCCGTTCCTGTTAGCGGCCCGAGCTCCTGCCCGGACCCGCCTCACTTGCCCTTCTCCCTGCAGGTGAGATGCCCGTTCTACACACGAGCTCCCTAAGTCAGCCTGTTCTCGGGGCCCACAGCACGGAGGGCCGAGCACTGTGCAGGGCTCGTCAGAGGACATCTGTGCTGCTTGGGACGGTCCCCAGTGGGCGGCACCCCAGAGCCGCTGGAGCGGGGTGCTCAGACCAGGGCGGGAGCGGGGGCTACGGTTCAGAGGCAGAAAGGCCACCAGCGCCATCATCTTGCCCGGTGAGGGTGCTGCGTGCGGCCCTTCCCCACCAGCCGCGGGCCTCGTCCTGGGCCGAGGACGGGCAGGGGCAGAGGCACTCGCCCGGGCAGCCACAGCCCTTCTAGAGAAGAGCCAGGCCAGCGTGTCCTCACGAGCCTTAGGGGTGCCACCGTGACCGTGCTCTGCGCAGACCAGCAGCCTCCAAACCAAGCCCGTGGGCCACGGTCCAGTCCCACACGGGGCCCTGCTTTGGTGCTGTTAGGGCTTGAATCGTGCGTGACGCCCACGTTTCCTGCGGACTGTCCATATATGTGTCTTAAATCACGGCAGCTGTGTTTGTGGTGTTCTCATGCACATGTACACACCTGTGTGCATGGAAATGCTTGTGTGCACACATAAGGTTCACGTGCACACTTAAGTGCTCACTTGTACATATAACACATGCACATAAACGCTTCTGTGTGCACAAAAATATGTCTACATATAAATGCTTATGTGCACACATACTCTTTATACACTTGCATGCACACTTAAGCACTCTGTGCACTCTTAAACACTCACATTTAAACACGCACGTGCACACAGAGATGTTCATGGATGCTTGCACACACGGGTGCACACTTTAAACCTTTGCTTTCCTCTGGCTACCATGTACACGGGGTCATGTTCATGGTAGGGGCTGCCCACGGCCTTGGCTGCGCAGCCTGACGCCGGGCACTGTGGAAGGAGCCCACCCCGACAGCACCTTGCAGGATGTTGAGCCCCTGGATCCATCTCCACCCACCCCTGAGCATCCCAGCGGGGCATTCAGCTCCCCACATTCAGTTCAGGGGGGATGGGCCAGGCCATCTGGCCCAGTGGACACCCTCTGGCAACCCTTCCCTGTCCTCCCAAGGCCGCTTGCCCCAGGATGCATTGCTCTCACCCTTTGGAAGGTGCGGGCCTCAAACGTCAGGTTGACTTGTTCCTGATTCTGCTTGAACAATCCTGTAATTAGTAAGGTCAGCTCTGGAGGGGGCCCGGCAGCTGTGGCCCATGGCCCCTCCATCGGACAGCAATGCACCTTCGGGTTCTGGGCCAGCCTGTGCTTGAAGGAGCCCTGTCCTGGCGACGGCAGGGGCCGCATGGGGACATCTTAGCGGCTCTTCCCTTGATGGGCCCCTTCTCTTCCCCATCTCTGCTCAGACGGCTGGGCTGGGCTCAGGGCCACTCTGGGGGCATCCATGGTTCCTCACCCCTTGCATCTGCCCCTGCATCCTCCCCCCCACCCCCCCACGGTGAGCCAACTCCAGCTGGAGTGAGGGCTCTGGGCGCTGGGGCAGGTCAGCCAGCCCCACAGATAGCCAGAAGCTGTCGGGAAAGCCAGGAGTGGACCTCACGTGACCTCAGTGTGTCATCTGCCTTTTATTTGACAGATTAAACAAATGGAAATAGAAGAGGGTCGGTTAAAACACGAGGTCCAGGATGCGAGGGACCAAAACGAGCTGCTGGAGTTCCGGATCCTGGAACTCGAGGTGTGCCGGGGGCGTGGGTGCGGGGTGCATAGGGGAGAGGCCACCATCCTGCAGAGCTGCTGTGATGGAGGAGGCGCTTGGCCTTCCTGACCTGGGCCCTTGCTCATGACCCCAAGAGGGTGGGTTGGAAAGGAGGCACCTCTCTGCCCAAGGGCCACGGACGAAAGCCCAGAACGAACAAGCCATGAGTCTGCTTCCAGACTCATGCGGCTGGGCAATGATGGCTCCGCCCGGAGGGGCCATGATGGTGGCAGCTGTGCTGAGCGGGGGCCACACGCCTGACCATGGTGGTTAGCCAGCGGACGTTTGCTCCCTGCTCGTTTAAGCAGCCCACTGCGGGCTGCTGGGGGCCACGCAGTGACCAGGTGCCCATCTGTGCGCAGCTGTCCTGGGCCCCCGTCCTCCCCTGTGACCTTGGCCTCCTGCAGACCACATTCGCTGGCCTCTGTGTCTCCACCCTGTCCCTGGGTGGCCCCCAGCACAGCCCCCATGCCCAGCCTCCCGCTCTCTGTCCTAGGAGAGGGAGAGGAAGTCTCCGGCCATCAACTTCCACCACACCCCCTTCGCAGACGGGAAGAGCCCCCTCCAGGCCTACTGTGAAGCTGAAGGAGTGACGGTAAACCCCCGCCCCCCCACCCCTGCACCCCACACAACCCCACCGGCTGGCATTCACCTCCGGGTATCCCTGTCTTTGCCTCCAGGACATCCTGGTCACGGAGCTGATGAAGCAGCTGGACATCCTGGGGGATAACGCCGTAAGTGTATGTCGCTCTCCTGACTTGTGCATGCCTCCTCATGCCAGCCCCCAACCCATCAGTCCCCCAGGGTCCAGGGACCCCCATGAGTCCCGCTGCCAGTCTGCCATGGCTGCCCTGCCTGCCGGCACCCTCCCTGAGGCCACAGCTGCTTGGTACGGCCCCTGGAATTTGGGAGAAATCCTGCTCCTTTCTCATGTTCTTGCACCCGGCTGAGTGGCAACTCGCACCCAGAAGCACGGGGTTCGGAGCCTCTGTTTGGCCAGGATGGGGAACCCTCTGCTGTGCATACCCAGTTCTCCTAGCCATGATGCTTCTGGCCACATGTTCTCAGTTTCTGAATCCCAGTCAGTTGCTAAGCCTTCCCACAGCTTAATGGAGGTGGGGGCTGCAGATCCTCTAGTACCTTAGATATCCCAGACTCTTAGGGGTTCCCACTTCCTTGGTTTTGGGGGAAGGGCAGAGACCATAAATAATCTGCAAATCTTATTTAGGGCCCAGGTCCAATTTCTACAGCAACCTCGTTGAAGAATACTGATTGAGTGACTGAGTGACTGTACTCCTTCATCCTCCATCCATCCATCCCTCCCTTCACCTTTCACCCTCCAACCATCATCTCTCCATTCCATCTATTAATCCTTCCTCCATCCCCCATCCATTCATCCATCTTCTATCCTCCATTTACCCATCCATCCATCCATCCTCCATCCACCCATCCTCCATCTACCCATCCTCCATCCATCCATCCCTCCCTCAACCCTTTACCCTCCAACCATCTATCCATCTATTCATCCTTCCTCCATCCTCCATCCACCTATCCTCCATCCATCCATCCTTCATCCCTCCCTCCATCCCCCATCCATACATCCATCTTCTATTCTCCAATTATCCATCTATCCATCCATTCCTCCATCCTCCATCTATCCTCCATCATCCGTCCATCCTTCATCCTCCATCTACACTCCATTATCCATCCATCCTCCATCCTCTGTCCATCCATCCTTCATCTTTCATTCTTCATCATCCATCCATCCATCCTCTGTCCATCTTCCATCCATCCACCATCCATCCATTCATCTTGCATCCACTCTCCATCCATCCTCCATCATCCATCCATCCTTCCTCCTCCATCCACACTCCATTATCCATCCATCCCTCATCTTCCATTCTTCATCATCCATCCATCCATCCTCCATCCATCCATCCTCCATCCATCCTCCACCCATCCTCCATCCATCCATTCATCTATCCATCCTCCATCCATCCATTCATCCTCCATCCATCCAACCTCCATCACCCATCAATCCATCATTCCTCCATCCACACTCCATTATCCATCCATCCTCCATCCTCTGTCCATCCATCCTTCATCTTCCAACCATCCATCCTCCATCCATTCATTCTCCATCCTCCATCCATTCATTCTCCATCCTCCATTCATCCATCCATCCTCCATCCATCCATTCATCCTCCATCCATCCATTCATCTTCCATCCATCCATCCTCTATCCATCCATCCTCCATCCATCCATCCTCCATCCTCTGTCCATCCGTCCTTTATCTTCCATCTTCCATCTTCATCCATCCATCCATCCATCCACCATCCATCCATCCTCCATCCTCTGTCCATCCGTCCTTTATCTTCCATCCTTCATCCTCCATCCACCCATCCATCCATCCACCATCCATCCTCCATCCATTCATCTTCCATCCATCCATCCATCCTCCATCCTTCATCCTCCATCCACACTCCATTATCCATCTACCCATTCTCCGTCCATCCACCCACCCATCCATCTTCCATCTGCCCTTTATCCATCATCTTGCACTTGTTGAGTCCCCTGCCCAATGAGCAGCTCAACTGTGCCAGAAGGCAGCCCCATTCCACCACCCAGAAGTTTTTTTTCTCCCACAGTATACTAATAAGTATGGTCTACAGCTAGTCCTAAGACATCTTGGGCTCCCCATCCTGGTCATTGCTCTTGAGAAAGAGCCAGGCACTTGGTCAATTCAGTGTACTTCATGAAGTAGGAGGAGAAAAAAAGAGAAACAAATGCATGCAAACACACACATTCTCACTCACACACACCAAAACCCCGGTACTCACACGTATTCTTGGGACTAGTTGTTCTTCCCAGCAGCTGTGACACATGTGGGGCCCTGTGTTGACAGGGATGCTTCCCTCTTGCCCACCCTTCACTTGGGGAGGGAGGCTCTGCTGGTGGTTCTGCCCCTCCCCCGGACCCCATGCTCCATCTGAGCTGTGGGTTGTAGAAGCGTTAGCCAATACAGGGAAGGGGTCCAGCCCTGAGTTATCAGGCCCCATCATGGGGACCATATTGGTTAACCTTCTGATTCAAGCTGGAGAAACTGAGGCCCAAGAGGACACCTGCCCAGGGTCCCAGAGCTGATGTAGGATGAGCTCAGTTCAGGGCCCCTCCCCAGCCCTACAGCTGCCTACTCAAGAGCATCAGTGGGCAGGACTGCCATGGAGCCATCAAGTGGCCTCAGAGCATGGGGACAGAGACTCTCAGGGACTGGAGGACACATGTTCAGGTTTTACGCTCAGGGGACCCTGGGGAAAGCTTGGCAGTTCCTACCGATGGGCCTAGAGGGCGTCCCTTCAGTGGTCACAGTGGAGCATATGGGTGTACTTCACGTGCACCTCATGACCCAGATGGTGCCCCGTGGAGCCTGAGATTCATTCCTGGAGCACAGACTGGCCCAGCTTATGAAGCAGGTGACAGGGACAGCCCGGCCCCTCCTGCCTTCACAGCCAGCTCATGCTAGTGCTGTGGTTACTGTGCACAGACCTCCAAACGGGCTACAGGGGTACCTGAGCCCCAGACCTCAGTGTGCTCAGGAGGCAGGGTCCTTGGAGTTGAACAGAGGTGGCAGGGGTGGAGTGGACCCCCGTCCTCCCTGGTGGGCAGCACCACTCACCACTGCTCTCCCTGGGTTGCAGAGGGATGGGTCACCTGGGGAAGGGAGAGCAGGGGCCAAGAAGGTAGAGCAGACGGCACTCTGCCCAGGCCGGGGCATCGTGATGCCAGGCTGCTCACCCAGTGGTGAGCCCGTCAGCCCAGTGCAACCATGTCCCAGTAGGTTCTCCCTGAAGCCACTTGCTCGGCCTCCCCTGGTCCCTGTCTGCCTTGGGAGAAGGGAGCGCCTGGGCACCTGACCAGCTTCCCCAGGAGCAGGAGGTGTGCAGAGTGTCTGGCCAGCCCAGCTCTGTGCTGAGTCAGGGTGCACTGTGCCCCAAGGGCAGGGCTTGCCTCTGTGCCTACAGCGTTTGGTCACTGGCGCCCACCTTTGCTGACTGCTATAGGGGTAGGGGATGATGAGGACCCTTCCCTTGGGGAAGCTCACACTCCAGATGGAGGGCCTTCTGAGCAGATAGGTTCTGGGCTGTAGGGGGCTGTCCTCCAGCTCAGTAGTCCAGCAGGCTCTGCCCTGCTCTGGTCTCTGATTCCCATGTTCTCCACCCCCCACCCGCTGCCCCACGAGTTGGACCCTGCAGTGGGGACAGCCCAGCTCCCACCCAGGTGCTGATGCAGGTGGCAGTCAGGGTCTGAGGGAGTGAAGTGCTTGTAGACTCTGAGGATGCTCATGGGCCCCAAAGCCAGACTCAGCCGGAAGAGCACCCAGGTGGGCCCCTTGGAAGAGGTGTGAATACAACATGCAGAGAAAAGGCAAAGACGCCAGGGATGGGAGCCCTCACCCCACATTCCTAAGTGGGGTTTTAGTAATTGATAACACAGGCTGCATATGCAGAGAGCTGGCTTTCAAGAAAGATGTGCACAAGGGACAGTAGGCACACATGTCTCTAGCTGCTGCCTTATGCTCCCCCACCCCACCACTCCTGCCTCAGCTGGCGGCTTACAATGTCCTGGTCACCAGTACTGGGAGGATGGGAGGGGGTAGAACAGAGGGAGCACGCCAGAGTCAACGGGATCAAGAATAAAATGGATTCAAGACCCCAGGAGGCCATTTCAGTAAAAGTCACCTTACCTGTGACCCCAGCCCCCTGCACCTCTCCATCAGTTTCAATTCATGCAGCCCCATTCACCCCCCCACCAGGCACCCCCCATTCACTCCCTACCTGGCACCCCATTCACCCCTCACCAGGCACCGCATTCACCCCCCACCAGACACCCCCATTCACCCCCCACCAGGCACTCCATTCACCCCCACTAGGCACCCCCCATTCACCCCCTACCTGGCATCTCCATTCACCCCCCAACTGGCACCCTCATTCACCCCCCAACCAGGTACCCCCATTCACCCTCCCACCTGACACCCCATTCATTCCCCTGTAAGGTATCCCTCATTGACCCTTCACCAGACACCCCTCGTTTCCCCCCACCTGGCACCCCCATTTGCCCCCTCACCATGCACCCCCATTCACCCCCCCACAGGCACCCCATTCATGCCCCCACCAGACACCTGCATTCACCCCCTACCAGGCACCCCATTCACCTCCCCACCCCCCCCACCCCACACCCTCATTATTTCAGTCTGGTGCAGCCCCCTTACTGTACCCATGTCTGCTTTGGGTGCAGAATCTGACCAATGAGGAGCAAGTGGTCGTCATACAAGCTAGGACAGTCCTGACCTTGGCTGAAAAGGTAACAGCAGCTGTGTGGCCGCTCTTGGGACAGGGCCAGGCTCAGCTGGGAGAGGGTGCCTTCCCTGGAGGAGGGGCTCCCGGGGTGTGGGGTGGAGAGCCCATGAATCCTGTCAGCCTGGGAGGTCCCACACACGCAGGGGTCAAACAACACCCACCACCTGTGTTTGCGGGTAACAGATCAGCCAGGCTTTGTCTCAAGGCCAACTCTGCCTCAGTTTACCCCTCCAAAGGCCAGGCAATGGAGTGGGTCTGTATACCATTGGCTTTCTGTTCACCTCACCAGGACCCTCCCCTGGGGGCTGCCCAGCCCACCTGGGCTCCTTACCTGCAGCCCGTCCCTGGCCCCCACCCCACAGCCAGAGCCTGCCTGGGAGTCCTCCAGCGGGAAGGGGAGAGGGAGTCCCGGCAAGCAGGGGTGCAGGGGATGGGACTGAGGGAGGACCTCTGCTGGCTGAGCGCTCAGGTGCACCTGTCCCTGCCAAACCCCTGCTCATGACCCTTCTCTCCCTGGGGAAGTGGGGGACAGACTTCCTGGACACCACGTGGGGCTGTCTGGACGCTGGGCACCCGGGGCTCACAGTGCCAACCCAGTCCCCACTCTCAGTTTGGTGCCTGTGTGGCCATCCGAAAGGTCACTATCACCTGCTCTTTCGGTTTGTGTCCAGTGGCTCCAGCAGATCGAAGAGACAGAGTCCGCCCTGCATCAGAAGATGGTTGACCTGGAGAGTGAGAAGGTTGGTGGGCGTCTTGCTTTGTGTCTGCACAGGGCGTCACCGGGCGGATGCCCGAGGCTGAGACACGGGTCCTCTTGTGTTTCAGGAGCTGTTCAGTAAGCAGAAGGGCTACCTGGATGAAGAGCTGGATTATAGGAAGCAGTCCTTGGACCAGGCTCACAAGGTAAGAGAAACCGACAGCAGGAGCGTACAGATTTCGGGTAGAAATGGGGAAAGTGTTCACACGCTGTGTGGTATCCCTCGGGGTCTGGGTCCAGTATGACCACCGTGGGACCAGCTTCTGCACTTCTCCCTCCTGGTCAGTGAGGTCCAGGGATGCCTTACTAGTCCGGCAGCAAACACTTCACCCCGTGAATGCAGAACTCAAATGGATGTTTTAAAATGAGCTGAGAAAATGGGATTCATTGACACATAACGCATTTATAAATTAATTGAGCACGGTTGAATGTTTGCAAGAAACAGTCTCTGGGACTTCCTGTGAGAGTGCACCTGCTACTCCGAGGAATGGACGTTTTGTCTGCCCATTGTGTCTGCCCGCACATCTGCCTGGCCGTGGGGAGCACTTGCCCCCGCTGATAAACCTGGGGGTCCCCACTTGGGGTTAACACGGAGATTGGGAGTCCTTGTGGACATGTCTCCACCACGGTGACGCAGTCCTCACTGACCCTAGTTTGACAAGGAGAAATCTCTGGAGCTTCGGGCTGCTTTGTTTCAAGAGGTGAATCCGGATCGGGTACCGCATCCTTGCTGCTCAGATTAGTCCAGCCAAGGCGAGGCGCAGCATGGGGGGCTTCCTGGAGGTGGGACGCCCACACTTCTTCCCGGCAGTCAGTTACACCCTGAGTCCATGCCACCTCCCGGCACGGTGCTTCCAGGCCTGCCATTGTGTCCGCCTGGACTGCCAGTCCTTAGACTCAGAGTGAGTCATGGCGCCAGCTCAGGGAAAGCTGTCCAGGGGCCCTTGTGAGGTGAGGGGTTGGGAATGGACCCTCCCCCTAGCAGGATGCCTGAGGCCAGGGACATCCCGCATGGTAAGTAGAGGTCTGAGTGCCCGCCTTCTGGAGTGTTAGGAGAGCGAGGTAGTTGTGCGGAGAGCACATAGGGCACCAGCAGGTCCTGCCCAGCCTGGAAGCTGACAGCGTGATGTTTCCGTTAACCCCATCAGGGCCCCGTGGGGCAGGGCAGAGCTTCTGCCCAAGCTGAGGGTGGGCTTCCTCTCCTGGGTGACGGTGGAGGTGCCGGTGGCCCACTCACCACCAGTGGGGGCGGCCATAGAGGAGGTGGTGGAGGGCAGTGGCCTTGGAGAGCCGAACGGGCACTGATGGACCTTCCCAGAAATATGGGCCAAGATCCCTGTTTCCAGTCCACAGTGTTGGGTGGGAAGGATGCTCGCAGTATTTGGGGGGCAGCTGGACAGCCCTGAGCCCCCCACCGCTGCATCCCAGACACGTGCATGGAGGGGACAGCTCACCCCTAACCCCTAGGCCCTGGGCATTCCTCAGGATACAGCTCAGAAATATGTGGCAACAGTGTTGAAAAGACGGATCAGTGTGCGGGGCGTCAGAGAGGGCTGAATATCACACACGCGTGCACCTGCATCCCAGAGAGCAGGGAGCCCTCGGGGGGCTGCAGGGCTGTGGACCCCTGCCCCGGCTTCACACCCTCCCTGCTCTGTGGACTCAAGGTGATGGTGGGGGTTTCGAAGGGGAAACGATGGTCCCTGCTGCATGGTGGCCGCTCTCGGGAAGTTGCTGGTACCCTGCAGGGGGCCCGTGGCTGGTGCTCAGGTAGGGGGAGAAGGTCACCGCACCTCTCTTGTTTGCAGCTTTGTGCGAAGCCTTTGAGGTGCCAGTGCTAAGCACCCCCCACACCCCCCAACTGCATCTTATTTATTTTTAAATGCTTGAGCTTATCTTAACCGCCTAAGCGCCTGTGCTCTAAGAAGTGGCTGATGGGGAGTGTGAGCTGCTGGGGACAGCTGGGGACAGTTTATTTTGTGGCTGTCAAGAACAATAAAATGTGAGGTCCAAAGGATTTGTTTTTATTCCCTAAAATGTCTACTAAAGCTGAAAGGACTTTTCATAATCATTTTGCCTGAAGAAAAGACCCTTCATTTCTGAAGAGGTTACATTTCTGTAGTTTAGGAATTTGGTTTTTTCAAAGATTGCATCAGGAAAATCTCTGGAGGAAAAAGCTTTAAAAGTATTCCGGATCCAATTGGTAAGTCCTTAGGAATTTATAACAAGGTATGCATTTTGTCTGCTGAGTTGCCGCAAAGGGGTCACTTTGCATTGGTTGGCGCTGGATTTCTGGAAGGCGGCAGAGGGGTGAGCCCCATGCCCTACGCGGCTCTCTCCTTGGCCCTGCCAGGCCCGTGGCCCCTGTTCAGCCTTCTCCCACATCAGCCTCGGCTTCAGCCCCGGCCTGGGGGTCCCAGGGCCTGGCTCGCACTCAGCTGGTCAGCTTCTCGGCTTCTCTTGGGTGTTCTCGTGGGGGGATCTAGGGGACCACGGGTCATTCCCCTGAGATCTGTGGTGAGCACCGTGGCCCCTAGCTGTGGGGCAGCACGTGTTTGGGGACCAGCGGCATGAGGGGTTCTCTGTGTCCGAGCCCTCAGGAGTGGGGTGAAGCCTGAACCCTGGAGCCCCCTGCAGGGTCTGGACCCCACTGTCCCCAGCGGGACCGCGTGCACATTGCACGAGCCCACTTATCTCCTGACCTGGGGCCAACAGAGCAGTTGCCTCAAGGAGGGGTGGGCACTGGACAGCTCTGCGGGGGTGGGGTCTGAACCTGGGCTGGGCAGGGCACACCAGGCACAGGGAGCAGGCGTTCTCAGGACTCATCATCTGCAGAGTGGAGGCGATGAAGCCGGGAGGTGAGCACAGCAGGCAAATGGGGCCTGGTGGCCCCCGAAGGTGAAGCCATGTCCGAGGCAGCAGGGAGCAGCTGAGAGAAAGGGGCACCCAGAGCCCAGCAGGCCAGGCTGAAACCAGGTGTCAGCAGGGACGCGCTCCCTCTGAGGCCCCAGTGAGGGTCCTTCCTGCCTCCTCCAGCTCCTGGGGGCTCCAGGTGTCCCCCAGCCTCTGCCTGCTCTTCACATGGCTTCCCCCCCATGGCCTCTGTGACTGCCTCCAAGCCCCCTCTCCTTGTAAGGACATGAGCCGCTGGATCGCTGGATGCCTCCTGCATCCAGTATGATTCCATCCTAACGCGAGGACAGCTGCAGAGACCCTAGTTCCAAATAAGGCCACATTCATGAGCTCCAGGGATCAGGACCTGAACGTATCTCTTGGGGACATGACTGACCCAGGCACTGAGGACCACAGAGTGGCCCGGCCTCCCCAGGGAGAGGCTGAAAGTCAAGGACCTCCCCCACTTCTGTCCTTACATCAGACAAACCCCTGTGAGCGCTGCCCTTCTTCCTTCTTTGGGGCTCATAAACCTAGGGTTTGAGGAAGGCCATGAGCCAAGGAAGAGGCCTTACCTCAGTGTCCGGTCCTCGGGCTCCCTCAGAGCTCTCCCCCTAGTCTGGTCTCGAATATCTGCTTACCCGTTTTCCAGACATTAGCGGGAGCTAAGACTCTACCTCCAAAGTTTTATTGCACACGTCAAAACCCGTGTAGAAGTGAATGCTCTTGTCATAACGACTCCTGCACTGGGTTTCCACTCTACAGGTCACATAAGCTGGTCGAGGAGGAAACAGGCCCCTCTGTGGGGTGGCTTGGAGGTGCTGCCACCCCAGGGATCACGGGGCTCCCTTTGACCAGCAGACCAGACTAACGTGTCCCCTCCCGCCCCAGCACATCCTGGAGCTGGAGGCCATGCTGTACGACGCCCTGCAGCAGGAGGCCGGGGCCAAAGTGGCCGAGATCCTGTCAGAGGAGGAGCGCGAGAAGCTCAAGGTGGCCGTGGAGCAGTGGAAGCGCCAGGTCATGAGCGAGCTGCGGGAGCGGGATGCCCAGATCCTACGGGAGCGCATGGAGCTGCTGCAGCTGGCACAGCAGGTGCGCTGGGGGGGGGGGCGGTCAGCCAGGGGCAGCCAAAGAGGGGGCTGCAGCTGGCACAGCAGGTGCATGGGGGGGTCAGCCGGGGGGGCTGAAGAGGGGGCTGCAGCTGGCACAGCAGGTGCACGGGGGGGCCAGTGGGGGGGCTGAAGAGGGGGCTGCAGCTGGCACAGCAGGTGCACGGGCGGGTCAGCGGGGGGGCTGAAGAGGGGGCTGCAGCCGGCACAGCAGGTGCACGGGCGGGTCAGCGGGGGGGCTGAAGAGGGGCTGCAGCCGGCACAGCAGGTGCACGGGGGGGTCAGCGGGGGGGCTGAAGAGGGGGCTGCAGCCGGCACAGCAGGTGCACGGGGGGGGCCAGCGGGGGGCTGAAGAGGGGGCTGCAGCCGGCACAGCAGGTGCACGGGGGGGGGCCAGCGGGGGGCTGAAGAGGGGGCTGCAGCCGGCACAGCAGGTGCACGGGGGGGGCCAGCGGGGGGCTGAAGAGGGGGCTGCAGCCGGCACAGCAGGTGCACGGGGGGGCCAGCGGGGGGGCTGAAGAGGGGGCTGCAGCCGGCACAGCAGGTGCACGGGGGGGCCAGCGGGGGGGCTGAAGAGGGGGCTGCAGCCGGCACAGCAGGTGCACGGGGGGGCCAGCGGGGGGCCTGAAGAGGGGGCTGCAGCCGGCATAGCAGGTGCACGGGGGGGCCAGCGGGGGGGCTGAAGAGGGGGCTGCAGCCGGCATAGCAGGTCCATGGGGGGGCCAGCAGGGGGGCTGAAGAGGGGGCTGCAGCTGGCACAGCAGGTGCATGGGGGGGCCAGCGGGGGGCTGAAGAGGGGGCTGCAGCTGGCACAGCAGGTGCGCCAGGGGGTGGGGGGGCAAAGAGGGGGCCAGGCGCTTCATCCGAGGAGCCCCACGGCCACACCCTCCCGTGGTAGTCACATCTCCGGTGGCCACACCCTCCCACGGCAGGCCCTTGTGCCACACTACCTGCCCCATCAGACCAGCCTCTGGGTGGCACATGCCCTCTCTTGGGTCTCCTGACTGCGAGGTCTCTAAGATGCCTCCCTTTCAACTGTAAGGACGTGGTGAAGGTGTGGTCTGGGCAGCTCGTGGGCTGGGGAGCAGCCCCTGGCCTTCTCTTGACCTTGGGCACTTTAGGACCTCAGGCTAATCCAGCTGGTTCACTTCTAGCAGCAGGTGAGGGACCCGGACATTAGACAGCCTCTGTTCCCGTGGGTGCCTGTGGGGCCCGGAAGGGGCCTTTACGGATGCGTTCTGTGTTCAGAACACCCCAAATACAAAGGCTCCACTTGCAAAGTCAGGTAAATTAGTGACCCAGGCTTTACTGTGAATGTTTGGGTAACGTCTGACCAGAGCATCAGTCAGCTGCCAGGACACTCGCTGCGAGATTCAGGGTGGTCAGTGTGAGGACCACACCTGTGGGCCCGTCTTTCCCATCAGACAGGCTGTGGCCAGAGCTCGGCTGCTTCTAGGGTCCAGGCATCCAGGTCCAGCGAGGATGTGCAAATTTGCATCTCATGGGCCTGGTCTACCAACGTGAACACTTCAAGCACGGGCTCACCTTCACAAGGGAGTCCTTCCTGGGACAGCTTCGTGACTTGTGGCGGCCCTTCACGCTGCTGCTGGTGACATCTGGGAAGGGTGTGAATCAATTCCTGGGGTTTCCAGCACACGGTTTATGATCTGAAGTTGTAGGGGCGGGAGGAGCAGAGCGGACGAATGAGGAAGGCTGTGTCCGCCAGGGAAACCGAGGCGAGGCAAGCTGCCACCCTGCTCGGCCATGGCTGCCGAGCGGTGAGCAGTCGCAGAGAGAGGACAGCCAGGCTCCCGGTGACTCGCTCCCGGTGCCAGCTGGCAGTGGCTCTGTGACTCGTCCAACACATAAATGAACAAACACCTTGGTTCCCAAATATTCTGATGAGTGAAGATTTTCCTCCTTTAACATTGCAGAGAATTAAAGAGTTAGAAGAAAGAATAGAAGGTCAGAAGAGGCAAATAAAGGAACTGGAGGAAAAGGTAACATACGTGTGCATTTTGGGGTCTGTTTTGTTCACGGGAAGTTGTGCCGGTTAGCACGCTCTGGGGCGTGGGGCGATGGTGAACAGGAAACCGAGCCGCCTCACGGGGGCTGCGTCTCTCCCAGACTCAGTTTCCCTGGCTGTAGCAGTGGGAACTGGGCCGTCGACCTAGAGTCCTTGTAGGGCTGGTGATCGTGCTGACGTATAGGATTCCTCCACGTTCACCAAGCGGTTGGTCTAAAAGTTAAGTTCCAGAAAGGCCAGATTTTCCTCTTGAAAGCAGGTCGTCTGTCCAACACCAGTCTCTGGTTTCTGGGCCTTAATGCACCTGCTTTGGGGTTAGGATACTCAGGTGCTGGCGTGCAGTAAGTTTGGGGCCTGGGGCGGACCAGCTGCTTCTTTTCCCAGACCCCCAGCCCTGCCAGGCGTGGAGTCACAGGGGTTCTGTCCATTCAGCCCAATTAGGCCCTCCCTAAATCGACATGCCCAGTGTGCCCAGAGGGAACACTCTTCCTGTGGGGTTTGCTTAGTTTGGGGGCCATTCTTTCTCTGTGATTTAGGGATGTTTTCATATCTCTGTGGTCACGCTGTTGTTCGGTTCTTGGGGTGGATCTCGCCAAATGACCAGCTCCCCACTGGGTGCTGGGTGAAGCGGCCAGTGGGGCCACCTCCCAGCCTTGTCTCTTCTGGAAAGAGCAGGAGGCTGCTGCTGGCTCCGGAGCCCCGCAGGCAGCACGGCCTCCTTCCCAGGAAGAGGCCGCAGGAGAGAGTGGTCCCTCCCAGTGGCCGCCTGCCACACCCCACCCACCCCTGCTCCTCAGTGACACCTGCCCCTTCCCTGGACCCTTTACTGTCATCTGCCCAGCGGTCATCATGCCCTGAGCGCCCATGAGCAGCCCCTAGAACCACGCAGTGTGGGAAGCAGGGAGGCGTTCCGGCAAATAAGATTTGCTGCCGTGTGGACGCTGACCCGGGGGAACAGGCCGGAGGGGCAGGGGCGCTGTGCTCAGGGTCCAGCCTCACCGTGCGGCGGCCGTCTCTCCCCCGCAAATAAACGTCTGTTTCCCTTTGCATCTTCACGGGAGAGCCTTGTGCGTATGAAGCACCTGGCTTTTAACCGCCGGGTGTGAATTACCATGGCTGTGCCACTGCCGAGTTGGCTGCACCCCCCCCCTGCCGCCGCCCCCCCCCCCCGATGCCACGGGAGGCTTCCGTGTGGCATCTGTGCAGGCTGCTGGCTCTTTTTTCTTTTTTAAGATTTTATTTATTTATTTGAGAGAGAGAATGAGAGACAGAGAGCGTGAGAGGGAGGAGGGTCAGAGGGAGAAGCAGACTCCCTGCTGAGCAGGGACCCCGATGTGGGACTCGATCCCGGGACTCCAGGATCATGACCTGAGCCGAAGGCAGTCGCTTAACCAACTGAGCCACCCAGGCGCCCCAGGCTGCTGGCTCTTTACCACCTACTGTGGGGCCGGGACCGACGCCTTGTCGGGGCTCTGGGTTTGCCCGCCCTCGGAATGTCCTTGCACAAGACCCCATCCTCACTCTCCGGCCGCGAGGGTCGTGAGCATCAGCTCCACAGAGGGTGCAGAGGCGGCGGGCGGACGCGCATGAGTGTGGGTGCGGGGGCAGCGCTGTCCTCACGCCCCAGGGGGCACGCGTGCGCCTCGTCCACGCCCGAGCCTGGTGGAGGCGCGTCTCGTTGTGTCTGCGGCCACGTCCTTTCTTGCCAGAGCTGTACAAACTCTTTTTCTCTCTCTTCCCTCCATGTCTCTGCCCTCCCCGTCCCTTTTCAGTTTCTATTTTTGTTCTTATTTTTCTCCTTAGCTTTCATTCTGTGGTCATAGCTCGCCCGGCCCCCACACGGTGAGTATTTCATCGCTGGCGCCCTCTGGCCAGGGTCCCGCCCGCCCCCCAGGGGCCAGCGGGGGCTCCCCGCACTCGAGCTGCCCGCGTGCTGTCGGAAGCCCAAGGCGTGTCCAGAGGGCTGTTCCAAATCCAGGGCCAGGATTCAGGGGCCGGTCAGAGGGCTTGAGGGGGCTTGCCCCTCTTGAGCGGGAAGGAGCGGAGGAACCCCCAGGTGCGCCTACCTGGCGGGAGTCGCGCACGCGCTCCGCTTCCCTGCTTCTGTGGCCTCGGCAGGAAGCAGCGCTGGAGAGCGCGGTCCTCTCGCGTTCTTGTCCTTTTCCACTGGCGCGGAGGACAAGCTGGGCTTACACTGCAGACTCGCCCAGAAGTGCCGGGCTTCCGTGATACGCGGGTCTCATTCACAGACGTGAAACCAGTCATGCTCAGCCGTGGTGCCATTACTGAGGCTTTAGACCAGGGCCACATGCAAAGGCCTGACCACTGCTTCCTTCCGACATAAGATGAGAGGACCAGCAGCGCTGGCCTCGCCATCCTGCTCAGCCCGTGCCCCGCCCTTCCGAGGGTGTGTAGGAGGCTCCCCTCGGGGCAGCAGCATCCTCTCCCTCTCCCTGGCCCCACCCCCGCCCCCTCCCTCCAGCCCCTTCCTCTCCCGAGAAGCCTCCCTGACCTGTGTCCTGAATCTCATTTCTTCCAGTCTCCAGAGGAGCCAGACCCCTTTCCTCCAGCTGGACCAGAGAGCAGTGGGTGCCTGGGCGGCAAAACAAGATGCCCCATCCGGTCCCTGAAGCCCCAAGAGGATCTGGTCTCTGGGGACCCCATCCCGTCGAGGAAGAGGGAGAAAGGGGGGCTTTGAGCACCACTGAGCGGGCAACTGCCCACTCTGATGAGCCAGAATTAGAACTAGTTTTTGACTGGGGCTCCTCTGGAAGAGGCCTGGTCTTGGCTGCTGGACCCTGGGGTCCCTCCTTGGGACGCAGCCTCCTGATCCCGGTGACAGGGATGCACAAGTTCCCTGCTGAGCAGGTGCAAAGAGCTGCTTCTGTGCAGGAGCATCCATAGCCCTACACTCCCACCTCATGGCCCCTCAATCGCGCAACACACATCTCGGATGAACCGATCAGGAAGAACACAGGCAGCCCATAAAAGGACACAGCGAAGCCTGTGACCACAGAGGTGATCCTCATTCAGGGAAGCCCAGATGGGTCGTGGGGGATGTTCCGAGGACGGCTTCCCCGACCCCTCAGGTGGCCCGTGAGGACTCGCCCACTTGGGGTCCTGTGCACCTCTGGCCGGCACACCCTCGCCTGGTTTTAAGATGCTGTTGCCTTGGGCGCTCGTGTGGGGGCCGCACGCACCGTGACATCAACCTCGCCTTCCAGGCCACCCTGAACCACACGGAGGAACACGGTGGGAGTGAGCGGGACTGAGGAGCATGACAGCGGGAGGTGGGACGAGAGAGCGCCCCGACCCCCACTGGAGAGGGGCCTGGCTTTCCTGGAATGCAGACGCCCGGGGCACCTGGAGCAGCTCCTCACCCCCTGCCCGGAGGCCGTGTCCTGCAGGCGAGCTGCATGGGGCTGGAGCTGCCCCGTGCAGGGCTCCGGCCTCTGCCCTCAGGGGCCCATGTGAGGGCAGCCACACACCCGAGGTCCTGCAGATACGAGAAGGGAGCCGGTGTCCAGGTGGCGAGCAGGTAAGTGCCCCCATCCGTCCATGGGAGACCCCGTTTCCCCTCCCCGCTGTTTGGGGCTCTCGTGGGGCGTGGATGCACCTCCTTCTGGCCTCATCTGATCCTGCTTAGTCCAGTGTGGTCCCCGTGGAGGTGTAAGTTCAGTTTGCTGGGACCTGCCCTGCAGTGGGAGCCCTGGGTGTCTGTCCAGGCTCCCTTCCCACCACCACCCCTGGACCAGAGTCTGCTCCCTGATGGGCATCCCTGTGTGGACTCTTCAGGGGCCCTCATGTGCTGACCCTGTATGGACCTCCTGGCCCAGACCCAGGACACTTCCCCCAGGCCCCTGAGCATGTGCTGTGGGGACAGCCCTGCACTTCAAGGTTCGAGGGTGGTCTCATCTCCCCACAGTGAAGAACTGTCCTAATGTGCTCCAGCCCCTCTGGGGTCTACTGGCCAGCCCTGCCCACCTCCACCCCCCGAAACTTTGAAAAAGAGAAGCTTCCTCCTTTATTCCGCAGAGCAATCCCCCTTCTCCTCCTGAGCCGCAGCCCCCAGGCTGCCCTCCCCTTCAGGCACAGTCATGAGCTTGGCTTCCTGGCCCCTCACCTCCTCTCCCTGCCCGTCCCCCCACCCTGCCCCCCAGGCTAGGAGGCCGCAGGAGGATCAGGCCCAGAAGGGGCACTCCGGGGCTGAGGCCTCCATTTCCAGCAGAGTCTCCTGAGTGGGGGTGCTTATGTGGGGCTTGGTGACGTGCTGCCGGGGGCTGAACAGTTTGCACCTCTGCGTCTGCAGGCTGGCGATGGGGGACCCCACCCGGGGCTGCTCAATGCCCTCGGAGCTGTGAGCAGGTCGCCCCTGTTGGGGGGCCCAGGGCCAGGAAAGCAGGGTCTCAGGGAGCAAGTGCTGGGCAGACACAGCTTCCCTGGGGAGCCTTTGGGCTGCCCCTCGGTGGCCTCGGGGCCTGATGGGGCTCCCAGGGTGCTCACAGTGGGGCAGCCTCAGCTCGGGGCTGGTGGGGCGCGGCGGCAGCACCAGACACACTGCACAGCAGCCCCCTCGTGGGGGTCAGGCACCCTGAGAGGTGTGCAGGCATGGAGCCCAGAGGGAAGCACGCCTCCCCTCCACCCAGCCACCCGGGGGTCAGGGAGAGCATTCTCCAACACTTACCGCAGTAGGAAACAGTGTCTGAAACGGTGGCACCAGGCTGGCCCGTCACGTGGCAGAAACAGGAGCTCCGACAGCCTGATGTCCGTGTGCGGTGGCCCTGGGGCTAGCTCTTTCTCTGATGGCCGGGGTAGCCCCAGGCACTGCGCCGAGTGAGAGCATGTCCGTACATTTTATCACAGGTGACGGCAGTGCCTGCCGGGCTCTGCACGCCCTGGTGTCCTAACTAGTAAATACGTGGGGAGAGGCCCCTGAGGCCGCAGATGTCCTGCTTCTCCATAAGCTTCTGCGCACTGAGGTTGGCGCCTGTCAGCAGCCTTCCTGCAGCTGTGTGACCGCGGGGCCCTAACGGGGTTTCCTGGGCCCCCATAACCGCTGTTTTATTCCATTCTCTGAAGAAAACCCATCCCTGTCCTTCCATTCCTTTCTTTATGCAGTTATTCACGCCAGTGCAAACTCAGGCATATTTAATTTATTCTGTGGGTTACAACCCAACACTATCACTAATTATTTTCCTGGCAGGTTGTTCCAGCTTGAGCCACTGAGCGCACATTCACATGACTCCTGTGTCCCCTTGACACGCCCCGTCTGCTGAGTGAGCTCGTTCCTACTTTCTGCCACCCTAGGACAGGCTTGTATTGTCCCTGCCCCAAGGAGCACCTTCCTCCAGTTGCAGGATGGCATTTAGGGACCGACTTCACTGGGTGCTGGGTGTGCTCTTGCCTGGGGCTGGGTGGGTGGCATTACCTCTAGGCCATCCTAAGGGAGGAACATGGGAGTATTCATGCACACGCACATGCCTGTGCGTATTTCTGCATCCATCCGTCTATCATCCATCCATCCCTCCATCTATCATCTATCCATCCATCCATCCATCCATCCATCCATCCATCATCCATCCATCCATCCATCCATCATCTGTCCATCCATCATCCATCCAGTATCTATCCATCCATCTATCCATCATCTATCCATCCATCCATCCATCCATCCATCCATCCATCATCTATCCATCTATCCATTCATCCATCTATCATCTATCTATCCATCCATCCATCCGTCTATCATACATCCGTCCATTTATCCATCCACCCATCCATCCATCTATCATCCATCCATCCATCCGTCCATCCATCCATCCATCCGTCTATCATACATCCGTCCTCCATTTATCCATCCACCCATCCACCCATCATCCATCCATCCATCTGTCCATCTATCATCCATCTGTCCATCCATCCATCTGTCCATCTGTCATCTATCTATCCATCATCCATCCATCCATCTGTCCATCATCTATCCATCCATCCATCCATTTGTCTATTCATCTATCCATCTATCTATCGATTGATCATCTATCACTATCTGTTATAAACTGTGAGTTCATAATGATACCTCCAATTCCAGGCCAACAAGTCAAGTTCCATTCCAACCCCCCCGCCATTATCTGTAATTCCTTTCTTTGGGTCCCACTTTATACACTGCATGTCCTCACGTGTTCAGCCCCAGTGTACACATGGAGCAGCTTCACAGTTGCTGACCACGTACCCTGTGGGAAACATCTGCCAACTAGGGTGACTGACCCTGTGCACAGCCCTTTTCAGCCTGTGGCATCCAGACAAATACTGTTTTCTAACAGTAAGTATTTCCAGACTTAGCTCAGCTCTCTTCTTCCCCACCTCTCCCAGTGTGGCTGTGCTGTCCATTTGTCTCAGCTTGGGTTCCTGTCCCACTTCGCCACATACTGACTTTTGTTTTATTTACACTCAGTAAGGTTCATTGTCCGTGCTGGACAGTTCTCTGGGCTTTGGGCCATGCGTGTGCCCACCACAGTGCTGATACAAGACAGTGCCACCAGCCTCAACTCCGTCTTGTGCCCCCTGCAGTCATCCTTGCAGTCACCCCACCCCTGCCCCTGCAGTCACCCCTGTGATCACTCCACCCCCACCCCTGCAGTCACCCCACCCCCACAATCATCCCATACCCACCCCTGCAGTCACCCCACCCCTATCCCTGCAGTCACCTCACTGCCACCCCCACCCCTGCAGTCACCCCACCCTCACCCTGCAGTCACCCCTGTGGTCACCCCACCCCTACCCCTATAGTCACCCCAGCCCTACCCTTGCAGTCACCCCTGTGTTTACCCCACCCCCACCCCTGCAGTCACCCCACCCCCACCCCACCCCCACCCTGCAGCCATCTCACCCCCACCCAACCCCTTAGTGTTCGACCTAAGAAAACTTTGCTTGATTCAAATCACAAGTCTTTTCTCCCATGTTTCCTTCTAGAATCACATGGCTTGATGTCTGGCACTTATATCCAGGACTGGTTCCGAGTCCATTTTGGCACATGGGGCATGGTCTGGGTCAAAGCACGTGTTTTGCCTGCGGTCGTCCATCCCTTGCTCCGTCCACCCCTTTGTGAAGAGCTCTTCCCCTTTTGGTTAAAATCTGTCTGCTTGGCTTGTCCAAGTCCCATCCTGGCTGGAGTGTCCTCCCCAGGTCCGGGGGACAGGTTCGCTGCCTGCTGGTGCCCCCCCACGCTGGCCGTGCCCCTCAGCCTGGTCAACCCCCACTGGTTCCTGGGGCTGAGGCCAGATCTCAGGGCCATGCCTGCCCCGCTCCAGGTCTGTAGGCCCGACATGGGTGACATTAACTGTCAGCAGACCCAGATTTACCGCTGCCCGCTAGCAGGGGCATGCCTCCAAGCCTGGTTGTGGATTGTGTGTGGCATCCCAGGTGGGCCCCAAAGGATGGCCATGTGGTTGGTCTTGAAATGCAGGGAGAGGCTGCTCTCTTCCACAGTCCATCCAGAGTTAATGACCATTGTGTGCATATAGAACAGGAAATTGCATTTAAAAATACCTGTCTATATCTATAATTCTTCCATGATAACCCAATGACATTTTTTCTTCAAATTTGCTCGTTTATTTATCTATGGAGCAAAAG